GATGACGGGGCCCCCAGCCTCAGGGAGAGGCGCAATGGGTTCCTCATGGAAGGACGTAGCAGCTCTCTTACCCTTATTCTTGACCTTCGGGGTGCGAGGCTCCTTGCCCTTATCAGCGGTAGTGAACTCGCGTTGGGCAAAGAGGAGGGAGGCCAGAGCCTCACGGGTGGCGACCGAATCATCTTCCAGCCCAGCGTCCTCGTCATCAGCGCAACAGTTCAAATAGGCATCGGCCTTGAGCTGCAGGGCAGTGAGGGCATCCTTCTGATCAGGACCGACCTGCCTGGTTGTCAGCATATCCCACTAAGAAGGAAAAGGAGGCCTACCGGAACGCAGTGGTGGTTTCCTTGGAGACAGTCGCCGCACTTGTCCAAGCCAACAGGGACCCAGCAGATCTGTCCAGGATAGTTGTAATAGGTGACCGAACACTTGACGCAGCAGTCGCGGGAGCCTGCGCAAAGGGGACCAACAGACTCTGGAACTGGGTGGCGCGCAGAAAGCTTCCACCCCAGCGCCGTACGCATCTCCTTGGCGGCCAACTGAGCAGCGACCTCCTCCTCCTCCTCTGGAGCGTCCTCAACCGAAGGTGATCGGTAGGGACGCACGGTGCGAGGGCGAGAGGTGGACGCAATGGAAGCAGGACCGAAGGGAGTAGGGGTGGCAGGTGACTCCAACTCGGGAGACCCAGACATCTGGGCGGAAGAGCGCTTGAGAGGGGTGGCGACAGGCGCCACTGTCTTCTTGGGCTGCTTGCGCGGAGCCATGATTGACGGAACTAATCCACAGATCAGTCCCTGAAGACGAAGGACGGAAGGGAGGTAAATACCTTGCGAAGAGGGAGTAAGCCTTGAAGCAAACCTTGGAAGAGGATCAAAAGGAAGAAGCCAAGAACCCAGAAGAGCGGGCACTTGGTGTGAGGTTGTGTGAGGAAAGTAGGAACTTGGGTAGGAAGTGGGAGTTAAGCGCGATGCTACAACAACTGGGGGTGGCCACGGCACAACAACAAGGGGGGTCACGGGACCCCCCTGACAGGCGCGAGTTCGATAACAACAACCCACCCTACGCGCGAGCAAACAAGCCAAACAAGCCCAAACAAGGGCGCAATCAGCCCTGATCTCTATGCCTGGAATTGGGGGCAATTCCCTAGAAGGGGGAGGTAATTGTAAGGCGGCCCTCACGTGAGGGCACGTGAGGTGTCACGCTCTTACAGTGGACCTGGCGGGCTCGGTAAATTAAGGCCTACGGGTTCCTGTATATAAGGGGCTGGAGGCTCGGAGTGAGGCCTCCAGTCAATAGTCGCTGTATATATGTAGACCTATTGTTACGCATTGAATCCTACTTCCTACCTACTGATCTGGTTCCCTGAGCTCCCGTGTGACCCTGGGTCCTACGCCTTTACACCAGCTCACAGTAATAGCATATGAGAGTGCGAGTTGGAGGCTAAACGGATGCTATCCTATAGGTCTACTATGAAGGATACAAAAAAGATGAAGGGGGAACCCCGTTGAGTCTGTTTCCTTGAGTACCCGAAACGGGCCCGACTCGGTTATCCCAACCCTAGCCCTGATCCTTCCACTGCAACAGGTCAGCATAGACCCTGAACCCTACACCCTTAGTGTCCCCCACTATAGTGTAACTCGCTAAGTGCTCCTCTACTGGTTCGAAACCACACCGAGTCGGATTTCATGCTTGTAGTGACCGTAACAGTTCTGAGACAGGTTCTTTGAGTATCTAGGTAAGGAGGCATCCTTACATTTGTAATAATTGTATGAAATTCAGAAAGCTCATGTTAGACAAATTTTCTCATCCAACTATCCGATGGCGGTGGTAATGGATCACGTATATGACAGAGAGCAGCATATATCATCTGCTTTGTAGCACCTGCTCCATTCTCGTATTGCTGATTTATCCATTGTTTGATTACGACAACTTAAGTGTTTGATAATAGCTTATTGTGCCCTCCATGCTGTTCTTGTTAAGCTGTTGTGTTCGTTTCTCGGAGGATTGATCGATGTAGGGTATCTGCTTTGACTTTGAAAATAGTTGCAGCAGTAGAAACTAATTCAGAAGGATTTGTAAGGAGCCATTCCTTTGCTTCACGAAGTGTAGTCTTGTGGTCAGACATGTTGTTGAATCGTTATAGAATCAGTGTTCGGCACGGATACCAATATACCCATACCAATATACCCATAGTATCCGAGTATATCCTCGAGTATATACCTACCCGTTGATATTTGAGGAGTATCCGGCGGATTGGTGTATATATCCGGATATATGCCAAGAGTAGCCAAGCGTAGCCAAGACTTCTTTTTTCAAACGTCGTGAGACCTGTCTTGATACTGTAAATAGTAATAACTATCCTTAGAATGAGTGACTCATCGTTATCAGATATACCGACAGATCTTGAGGGCTATAATAGCTATGATACTCATTCTCATAATGAACCAACCTTGCCAACGCTGCCTACCCCTATTCGACAGTATATTGATCCTACACCGCTCCGGCTCCAGCCTCCAGGACAGATGCTGCCACCGACGACGTTGATACTATTCACAAAGCTATTATATTCACGATTGATACTTGATAGTAATCCACCTACAGTTAAGATGACCTGCTTGCAACCAAACTGTGGATATTGTCACCTACTCCTCAACTATTAAGTCAAACTTCGACTGGTAATCTTTGGAAGCACTATACCCAGAAGCATCCAACAGTAGCATATACGACGAAAAGTCATAAGAATACACCGTCAAAACCATCGAGTAGTGCATCGTTGTTTTTTGAGCCATGAAACCAACAAATCCAGCCTATTCAAGGATTGAATAGTAGAGCGAAACACCGAGAGTTATTACTCTCATTCGTTGTATCAAATAACCTCTCCTTACGACTTATTGAAAGCCATTCGTTTCATCAATTAGTACAATTCTTAAGCCCAACTACTTTGTCAATCTCGTCACGAACACTACACCGAGAGCTACAGCGGCAATTCTCATATCACCGAGGCTTATTACAAATAGAACTCCAAGCTCATATTACCTATGGCGGCCGGGTATCTATAACGACGGATGCATGGACTGCACGAAACTATACAGAGTACGCTGCTGTTACAGGTCATTGGATTAATGAGAAGTGGCAGCACCGGTGTGTATTACTCGATGTAATCCACCTTCAAGAACCAATTCATAGCGGCGAATATCTCGCTCAAGAATTAGCAGCAGTAACAGATAGCTTCGAAATCACAGGTGCTATCTTTACTTGTACACGAGATAATGCCTCAGCGAATACTGTAATGCTTTCAGAATTTGAGAAATTGGCCGGTGAACGCCAGACGTCTATTCAACAGCCTTGGACGTTTACTGTTAAAGAAGGGGACGTCCGGTGTATTGCACATATCATTAATCTTGCAGTCCAAGCTGCTCTTAAGAGCTTGAAAGCCAGCCCGGATACAAAAACAGAAGCATACTGGTGTGAGCAAGGTCTTGCCCGGATTCCGCAGCGTATGGATAGCTCTTCTATTGAAGTATCAGCAACCCTTGAAAAGCTGTGAAGACACATTTATGTGTTTCGGAACTGACGAGCGTGGAAGGATGCTTTACAGAAGTAGATAAAGGCAGCAGGCCAAAAGCCACGCCAATTATCACTTGATATGCCTATACGCTGGAATTTGACGTACTATATGCTTGAAACCGCTTTAAAGCTTCGAATACCGATTACTGCAGTGTGTACTACACAAAAGCTTGATCCTAGTATGAAAGATATTGCGTTAACTATAAGTGATTGGGCTATTATTGGAGCTCTTGAACGATTATTCCTGGTATTCTTAAAGCCATCGAGACGATTACAAAGCGATTCATATCCAACCCTTAACTTTACTATCCCTCTTTACTTAAAGATGATAAATAAAGTTATATCGATACAAGAAGATCTTGGTAAAAGCTCTGCAATTGGACTAGCATGCGGAGCTGCGCTTCAAAAGCTTAATGAGTATTATACCCTTACGACGAATCAGCAGTATAAGCACTCAGCTGTTGCTACAATTTGCGACCCACGAATGAATCATACAGTATTCAAAAGGTTATATCCAAATACTATAGATGATACACGAAGATCACGAGCAAGGGCACAATTCGAAGACGTCTGTAGGACATACCAAAAGCGAGAGTATCACCTTGATACAGAGCGTATCAACCGTGAAACAGCCCTTGCGGAAGCAATAGGTACTACAACTACAATAGATCAAGAGCCTGATTCTGACGAAGACCTATTTGCGTCAGAGGGCTTAGCATTTCAGGAGCCAGAATGGAGGCGGTGGATGCTTGAACCACGGCCTGGTGAGCACACTGATATTCTCAAATATTGGTGCGCAAAGCAATACCAATATCCAGTTATTGCCCGTATTGCTCGTGATCACTTAGCAATTCCAGCAACATCCGCAGCATCAGAACGGGTATTTAGTAATGGTAGTGATATTATTACAAAAAAGCGGAATAGGTTATCACCGCCAACAATTAGATTTTTACTTTGCTTACGGAATTGGGGTCGGATTCAAGAGGCTGATAGTGATGGCGATGATGCTGACGATGAGGCACACGAATAAGGGGTTAGGGTAGGTTACTAGTATTATCAAAAGCTTCATTTTTATATACTCTATTCAGCCTCATGTATCCGGATATATACCTACTCTACCCGTAGGATTTTGGCCGGATACTCACGGATACTACCCGGATATATATCCGCCGAACACTGTATAGAATTGTTGTGGAAATTAAATGTTGGGGCAAGACATCTTGCTTCCCACAAGACAACTTGCTTATTCCGACTGGGAGCGAAGCGACCTGGCGGATCCGACGATTACTTCGACTTTCGCAGTTGACGGTTGAGGTACTGTTGGCCTGGATGGGAGTTGAGAAAGCACAACTCGTAACGCCCGTCGGACTCCTATATGTTGCGATACAAATCTGTTGAGAACATAGAGACGCTCGTAGACGAGAAGGATCCCAATGCAGCCCCTTTCTTCGTGTCTGAAAAGTTCGGCAGATCGTCCAATCCTTCTACAGTCACCGAGTTCCGAGCAACCGCAGAAAGCGACACCTGTTCAAGACTTTGCAAAGCGGTATACAGAAAACCCGCAGTACAGGAAGACTGCCATTGAAGAGCTCGAGAAATTCATACGTGATGATGTCTCTGCGATATCTCTTAACCCTGTATTTGGCTCACTGTGGAGGGTTGTCTGCAGTGACCGAAAGAATCCTTCGCGAGACGAAATCATCACTGAATTTGGCCGTCAGGTGAACCAGATAAAAAATGCTGACGAAAAGGATCGCATGAAGATCTGGCTTGAGGAGTCATATGACTTCACTACTGAGGCAATGGACACCATTGCATCAGTGCCAAAGGAACAGCGTTTTCCCTGTGTTGTGTCTGCCTCGATCCAACATCACTGTTCACCCAAGAGGCCGACGACGACGACGAGGAAAGCAAGCCAATCACTTCCCTCCAGCGAAGTGATCTTCTTGAAATCGGACGCTCCTGTGACTACCGGATATTTCGCCGGCTTGGCCGAGTCCTGACACGCCTCACGTATATTAACGGCAGAGGAGATGCCAGCTCACATCGCTGCCGCACCGGAGGTACAGATTCCTAGGATCCCTATGGCTTTGGCGTCGGATGAATACAACAACTATTTCTGGCCGATTTTACTCCACATTGTGGTGCCTGGGACAATGCTTTCTTCCAGACCGGCAGCAATTGCTCGCTGCATTGAGCATTCAACTAGGCCTTGAACCGCTCTTAGAAGTTGCTAACCGTGAGATGATGCGTTGGCGCGACAGATGGAGTGACTTGGATATTCCTGAGACATGGAATGCCAGTTGTATAGGTCTATTGCTTGATGCTGATGATGCGTATCGGAAGAGAGAGGGCGAAGAGCAAGGAACACAAGTGAGCATCAACCCGCACTGCGAAGACGAACCTCCTGCAAAACGTGTTTGCCTAGAAAATCTATCAGTAACATTTCCTTTGTAGACAAACGAGACTGATGCGTCGGATAAGAGATTTCTCAATCCGCAGGATCGCGCGCTCTTCGAACGACTCGTATCGTACAAAAGGCTCGAGTTCAACTTGGAGACAACCTTGAGACCACAAATCGGATGGACCCCAGCAAAGACCACCATCGCAATCGGCCCAACCGTCATTTATGCATCATGCGAATACCCACGTTCAGTCACGATTATGTGCGTAGATGGCAAATGCGGAAAGTGCCTCTGGACCCACGCCACCCCAGAAGCTCGCCAGGAGGCTATAACAGCGCACGTCACGAAGCAAGACGATGAGATGACACAGGCAACTTGGGTTGAATGCAGTTTGCGTACCTGCCGTGCACAATACGTCATCTATTCCCCGGCGAAATTGAGGATCAAACCAAAGTGCCACTATTATAGGGAGGATGGCAAAGCACCTGTGCTCCAGTGCTCAAAGTGCTTGAACAGGGTAATATGGCCTGAAGCGTATCGTCCTGCCGATATGGGAGATTTCAAATGTTACGCTTGCACAGCTGGAGTGGAAACTATTGTGGAAACAAATGCGCTCAAGATATTAAGGGAAAGCAACACCGATTGGCTCCTTCTCAACGATTGTAATAAGATTTTAGCCCCGTTCACCAAGCGCTCACTCTTCAAAACAATCTCAGATGCCGGCAGAGAAGACTTTGTAGAGAAAGTAGAACCCCTCCCTCTCGCATCCCAAGGTGAACTCACACTCCACGGCAAGCTCATCCGCAACACCCCCGACATCGTCGCAGAACTCCGCTCCCGGGTCATCCGCCGCAGAACCGAATCCGGGATCTGCTCGCTCTGCTTCGTCTCCTTCAAGAAATACAATCTCATCCCCTCCTGCGGCCGCACCGGCTGTTCTCAGCGGGTTTGCAAAGGTTGCCTGGCTCATTGGTACGGCCTCAATGTCGCAGGGGGGCTATTCAACTCCGCCGCCCTCGCATGCCCATTCTGCCGGCGCCGACCAGTCGCCAAGACATTCGCAAAGCACGGGTTTGGCATCCACGCCGTCTCTAGGCTAGAGACTGCGGTTAAGGAGGCGGGGTAGTGGATATACGCGTGGTGCGAGAAGTGTGGGGTGGCGAAACAGTACATGCAGCGCGTTTGTGCGAATGGGGCGCCGGCGGAGGTGAAGAACTGGAGGTGTGAATCTTGTGTGACGGCGAAGGAGGATGGGAGGTTTAAGGAGTGTCCGGGGTGTACGATGATGGTGGATAAGGTGGATGGGTGTGATCATATTACGTGTATGGTGGAGGGGTGCGAGACGGAATGGTGTTTTGTTTGTAGGGGGATGTTTGATTGGGAAACGGGGCATATGGAGGAGGAGCATGGGGGGTATGGTGATGAGATAGAGGATTATGAGGATTAATGGGCGTTGGAGTTACATTATTTATTATATACCCCTAATAACTGTTATGATCTTTGCCTTGGATCCATTGCATATTTAGTGACGTGAAGCTTATCTGATGATCGCACAACACCAGTGACGGCAGAAGATTATGAATATATAGCAGCGCGGCATCCACAGAGTCAAGACTGCCAGACACCCCAAGTAGTGATTATGGCTATGGCTAATATCCGAAGTCATGGGCAGCCCATTGCCAACAGCGAATACGCCCATGCCAGACCCGGAGCACCACATCCGAACCATCCACGAAGTCTTAAGAGGACAAGGTGAGAATGAGAAATGGTAAAATGAACAGACGCGATAACAAGGAAAGAAGACGACAAGAAACAATGACATGACAAGAAGGTAGCGTGAATCTCTCCGTAGTTAACTGTTTGCATTTCGATACAATCACCAATCGGGTCATATATTCGAGCATCAATCTTCTTATTTTCATCTGCATGATGGAGATCATAACGTCTTCGAATCCACGCAGGTCCATCGATTCAATTGAACATTATAAGGCCGCACCTACTTGACGGGTAGGTAGGGAGGAATAGATCAGACAGCTACAGTGAGGGTCAGGAGCAACGGGTCGAAAATTCGAGGGTTGACGGCGTCCACACTTGACTGTTCTCAAATCCCCGCTTATATGGGAAATGGGAGCCCAACTATCAACAGCTTCATTCCGGTAGGATATTATAAAAGCTGCTACTCCAGTGCCCAAGTATACAGCCAGCTACTAGACAAAAAGTTGCAAGTACATTCCTTGATGCGGAGAAGATCAAACTCATCGGCCTCGTTATGGCGATTCTCGGGCCAAGATAGCTTTCGACGACGACGAGTGTGTGGCAAGAAACGGCAGCGGGAGCGCCCAGTCGCTGACAGCAGGAATATAGCGACAGCAAGAGCACACAGCAACAGCAGCATCCTCTCACCGAACCCATCTCCGTACGCACGGCGGAGTTCCACATCCATCACCAGCTTCTCGGCCGACAGCAAGTCCAACGGCCCAGATGCCATCACCACAAAGGCGAGGTCTCTTCCTTCACTTCTCCGACGACGGCCATGACGAGGCCGTCGTTTATAGCCTAGAGTGCCGGTCGCAGCAAATCGGCAGAACTGCACCTACTCATATCCTCTCCAAATTCGTTCCAGTTCACTTGCTTCAAGAGAGTTTGTTTGTTCAAATGATATTAATTTTTTATTTCCCTGATCCTCTCTCATATTATATAACCCCGTCTATGTAAACCCCCATTATATTGAATATTTATCCCCCAATCCCCCATCCCAATGCCCCAAATATGCCCAATAATCCTCATTCTACCCGCCAAAAAATTACACAAATAAAATGAACCCAAGGGATATATGTGAACCAAAAACAAACACCGCTCCATAAACAAAAAGAAAGGGCAGGCAGACAGCCCAAAAAAAAAGTTGGGATTAAACCACAGTATCGACCTCGGGAGCCTTCACCAACTCCGCCTTCTCCGCCGCCTCAACAGGCGCAGCGGCAGGTTTCGCCCTCAAGCTCTTCCACTCCACCCCGACGGCACCGAGGATGCTCAAACAGCTCAGAATCAAGCCGAGCTGGAATGTCTTCATAATCGCCGCATTATACGCGACCAGCACCTCTGGCAGCCTCTCGGGTGGAACCATGTGGCGCAGGTTCGTCGCACCCGCATGCACGACATCGCTCGGGTCGAAGTTGGGGATGTGGAGCGCAGTAAGGTTCTTAACGAGGTTGGTGGTGAATAAATTCTGCGCAACGCCTACGAACACCGCTCCACCCAAGACCTGGACGAACAAGACGACAGCGGTGCCGATAGGCACATCGGAGAATTTCAGCACAGCCTGCGCAGCGACGCCGCCTTGCTGGAACCCGAGGCCGACGCCGAGACCGTAGATGAATTGAAACCCGACCCAGGCGCCCTTCGAAGAGTCGACTTTGAGGAGGGTGAGCAGCCCGGCGCCGATGGACATCACGACGCTGCTGGCGATGAAGAAGGGTGCGAAGTAGCCGAAGTAGGTGACGAGGCCGCCGGAGAGGATGATGGCGAAGACCTGTGCGAGGATGAGGGGAAGGGAGTCGACGCCTGCGCCGATGGCGCTGGTGCCCAGAATAGCCTGGAACCAAATTGGGATGAAATAGACGTAGATGAAGAAAGAACCGCCGATGCACAGGCCGAAGAGGACGGAGGAGGCGATGGTGCGCTGGGATGCGATTCGCGCGGGCACCGTGGCGTCGTCTTTGAGGTAGATCTGGAGGGCGATGAAGACGATGATCGTGAGGCCGAAGAGCACGAATAAGGCGATAATGCGACCGTTGCCCCATTCGTAGATGACGCCGCCCCACTGCAGAGCGAGGAGGAGACAGATGATGGCTGGGACGAAGATGGCGGTGCCGAGGGGATCGAGGTGCTTGAAGGTGATCCAAAAGGACTTCTCCTTGCGTTTGGCCTTCTTCTTGAGCTTGAGGAAGGCGAGGAGCCCGACGGTGGTGACGGCGCCGATGGGGAGGTTGATATAGAAACACCATCTCCAGGTCAGCTTCTCGGTGAAGGCGCCGCCCATCAGGGGGCCGGCGACGGAGGCAATGCCGTACATGGCGCCGATGAGACTGAAGAATGCGGGGCGCCTCTCGACGCGCACGGTGTGGGCGAGGACGACGAGGGCGCCGGTGAAGATACCTGCGCTTCCTACGCCGGCGACGGCGCGGCCGATGATGAGTGCCATGGAGGTGGGGGCGAGGGCGCAGACTAGGGAACCGATCTCGAAGATGGCGAGGCCGGTGAGGAGGACCCATTTGACGTTGAACATGGAGTAGAATTTTCCGAAGAGGAGCTGGAAGGAGCAGGTTGTTAGGAGGTAGGCGGAGCCGTACCAGCCGACGTCGTTGAGGTTGTGGAATTGATCTGTGATACGGGGGATGGCGACGGCGATGATCTGGGGGGGTTAGTTAGGGGGACAAGAACACGGGGGGGGTTTTTTTTGGGGGGGGGGGACTCACGGTGTTGTCGAGGGCAACGCAGAAGACGGCCATCATCAAACTGAAGAAGATAAGGTATAGTTTAGGGCCCATGGGGAGGTAGTCCCCCTCGTCGTCGTCGGCGACCTCTTCAGACTTATCATCGAGGTGGAGGGCGGCAGCATCTTTCTCATCCGTCCCCATGGCGATATCCTTCTCATTCGCATTAGCCAGCTCGGCCTTTGCAGCCTCAACTGAAGTCAGCGAAGTGGTGGTTGCTGTTTCGTGGCCCGACCCCTTTGCATAGGGCGGGACATAGACCGACTGGCCTTCGACTTGGGAGGTCATTGGAAGGCAGGCAGGTGGGAGATGTTTGTTGATTGTCGAGAATGAAGTGAGAATTAGAAGAAGAAAAAGAAATCAGATTAGAGTACAGGTGCTATGGCGCCTCCTATTATAGAACAAAGGATGATGGTTGGAAGTGGAGATAGCCAGGCATGCCAGATCCATTTCTGGGCGCGGATTTAAGAGTCAGGTCAGCCTCTTTGCTCCGCTCCGGAGACAAGACAAGAAGAGACAAGAGGTGCGAGTAGATTTTTCAAACGTACCCCCTGTTGTCTGCCTCGTGGCTAGGCCCGATACAGTTGGGGGGGGTGGAAGGGTAAAGGGGGTGGTGGAAGGGAAAAGGGGGTGGAGGAAGGGGAAAGGAGGGAGAAAGGAGCTGGAGGGGGGTGGAGGGGTGGGGGTGGGGGTGGGGGGTGTTTGAGAGGTGGCATTGACTGGTAACCAATGACAAGACAGAGAGTGGAGAGGGAGTGGATGGATTATTAATGAAAGGGCCAATCAGGACAACCAGGACAACCAGGACAACCAGAACAACCAGGACAATCAGGACAACCAGGACAACCAGGACAACCAGGATGCCGCTAGATTGTTTTGGTCGACTTCCTTACACTTTTCCATTTTCCACGCTACGGCGCGGCTTTTACTGAAGAGCCGTGGCACCGCGATGCTGCGGTTGGCTGGCCCTAGCCGCGTGGATGACCAATCACCAATTCTTCCCAAGTTACCCGAAGAATTAATTTCCTGCTAACCTCCGCTAACCTCTGCCAATCTGTCAATCAGATGCTTCTTTTTACACCTCCTTTAATCACGTGAAGACCCCCCGTGTTTGGACGGACATCTGTGCTGTGCTGTGCTGTGCTGTGCTGTGCTGTGCTGTGCTGTGCGGGGAGGGGAGGGATCCTCCGAGGGAAGTACTCACTTTAGATGCAATAGATGGCGTTTTCGGAGACAAGGTCGGGAATACGGGGATATTGGGGGTACGGCGATATGGGATGGCGGCGGTTCGTGATTTACGCTAATGCTGACCTGAGTGGGTGTGTGGGAGGTGGTGACGAAGCTGGATTGTGCCTACGGTAGAAGTCGAGTAGGAGAGTTGGGTGTAGGTGGTGGCTATCTCATCTATTCGCTCTCATGGCTCTCATCGCTGCTATCTGTCTATCAAGAACTCGTCATTGTCATTGCCATTCTCCCCATCAACGTCCCTCCCCATCCCCTTTCATCCCCCCCTCCATCCCCGCACCCTCCTTCTCCCTAACAGGCGACGAAAGCACCGTAATCTGCAAAATCGCCGCCCTCTCCTCCTTACTCAGCTTCACCTGCGGCTCTCCCTCGTCCGTCTCCACATAGCTTGGCAGCCTCTCCATGCGCTCTGGTGGGATTGCTGTAGAGGTGCTGGAGGTGCTGGAGGTGCTGGAGGTGCTGGAGGTGCTGGAGGTGCTGGAGGTGCTGGAGGTGCTGGGGATAGAGGTTGTAGAGATAGAGGTGGATGTAGAGGAGGACGTGGTGGGGGGGGTTGACGAGGGACGGTCGTCTGAGGCGCCGTCGTAGCCTAGGAGTTGGAGTTTGGCTGTGGCGCCTGCCAGAGTTTGGGCTGTACGGTCTTCGGTGTTTGGGTTCTGAGACGGGATTGTATCTTTCCCAGCCTTCTCCTTCACCTGCTGAGCTTCAACCTCGGTATGGGCCGTGGCTGCGTTCTCAAACTGGGCTGTGACCTCTTTCGTGTTCTCCTCCTGAGGCTGCACTGCATCCTTCTCAGCCTCCTCCTTCACCAGCTGAGCTTCAACCTCACCCCCATTCACTCCCTCAATCATCTGTCCACTCCCATCCACCGCACCCCCCACCTCAACCTCCCCCCTCAACTGCCTCCTCCCCGCCTCCGTCTCCCAAATCTCCGCCCCCACCAACTCCGTCCCCCACCCCTCCCCCTTCACCTCCTCCACCCCCTCAACATCCACCTCCACAACCATCTCATTCACATACCCCTCCACCCCCGCCATCTCGGTCATCCACTCCACGATCCCCTTGAAGTGGCGGGGGAACACACTCTCCTCCGCCACCTCCACCGGCAGTCCATAGACATTCATTCCATACCCCCACTGCCACGCCTCTTTCCCGCCAGAGGGGCCAAATACGCCTAGTCCGGGGGGGGAGTCGGACATGATGTAGCCCCGAGATCGTTCTAGCAAAAACTTTTTGAATCCGGCGTCCTGATACACCTTGCTGTCTTGGAAGGGGCATACGCAGGCTAGACCCTGCATGCGACCCTTTAGGCTGTCCCAATTCTCGTCGAGGACTTCACAAACGTACCGCGCGCTGTCGGCTATGGCAATGACGTCTAGCTTTCCACCCTCCTTGCACAGCGCGGGTACGACGGTGGATAGGAGGTACGAAATATGCGCCTTCTGATCTCGGTTTCCCTCAACTGTGTTCACAGCCGGCTCATAAAGCGGCGCATCATGCACCGCGGACTCCCTCGTCAACGAGTCCCATGACACCCTCGTCATCGCCCTCCCCTCCCTCCTATTCCATCTCAACTGCCCACAATTGGCCAAGATAACAGCTGGATGACCCTCCTGGTTGTGCACGTACTTGACGAAATCGACACACGAACCGGCGTTGATCCCGCCGTGGCCGCCGATGATGCGTAGGGCGAGGATGCCGAGGTCTTGGATTGAGTCGCCCAGGAGGAGAAGGGTGCGGGGGGCGGTGGCGATGTGGGAGGAGGCGAGGATGGGGATGTGGGGGGCTGACTGGGCAACTCCGAGTGGGGGGGGATGGGTTTCCATGCCCTCGTCTGCGAGGCGCTGGGAGACGATTGCGCGGATTGCGGCTATTTTGTGTGAGCCTGAGGTGTTTTGGGAGGTGGGAAATGGGGGGACAAACTATTCATACTCTCCCGCTGACGCTCGTTGTAGCGCTCAGTGCGGTTAATGAAGTATTTGAAGTAATACTTTGGGTTTTCGATGCTGCGGATCTCATCTTCGTCGTTAACGAAGTAGCTGTGAAGGCTTCATGTTAGATTGTACGGTCTGCCTGAGATTGGAGTGAAACGTACCCGAGCTGCTTTAGATCGGTTGGGTATTCTGGGTCCTTTGGAAGACCTCGGGGGAGGAGGCGGAACATGGTGGGTGGTTGGGTGTGGTCTGATTGGAATTTAGTTGCGTTGATATGAGGAAATGGTGGTTGTTGATGTTGGAAGAGGTTGCGTGTGAGAAGTCAGGAGTGCAGGGCGACTTCTTTGAAGTTGAAGCCGTGAAAGGCGTTTCAATTCAAGTGAGGTGTGTGACAAGATGTGCACCGATCCTGGAATTGACCTGCTGAAGTTGACTGCAGCAGTAGGTTGGAGTGAAAGGAGAGGTAACGAAGTGAAAGATGGTGATGATGAAGGGTAATTGAAGGTCAATGGTGATAAGTTGTCCAAATACTGACCTTGCTGTTCGTAGAAGTGCCACAAGACGACTCTGGCGTAGAAATATGCCCCCGCAACAGATTGGAATTGTGAACAAAAGGTGTCTGCCCAAACACCAATGTGAATTGTTTGTAAATATGCCACTTGCCGGCATTTGCACCTCAAGAATCGGGACGCAAACGAAGATGAAATCACAACCTTAACCAAACCTCTGGCAATCGCAGAATCAATACACACAGAACGACCGGAGACACACTTCCAATGGGAGCAAAACAACTACCTCCAAGGAAATTCCACTCTTGATTGTGAAGTTTTATTCATACATGTCCGTCTATAACGCCACCCCCAAATGCATACATATATACACATATTGATATGCAACTGATCGCCCTCCAACCAGATATTCCCCTTCTCCTCTTTCTCCTCCTCCCAACCTACCAACTGGCCTTCTTCACCCCCGGAATATCGCCCGCAAGTGCGTGCAAACGGAAGCTGTACTATCGAAATCAAAGTCAGCATCCCATCTCCCCACCACCAATGGCACCAAAAACACATACCCTCGACATCTTAAAGTCACTCAAAATACCCCGTCCCTTTCCTCCCTCAATACACCGGTTTCGGATCTGCGACGGGCGCGTATAACTGTGCATCTGCGACAGCTCCAGCTGCGCCTGCGCGCGCATGCGGCCGGGGAGCGTCACGTTGCGGATGATGTATCGGAGAGCTTGTCTATTGCGCGCAAATTGTCAGCTGAGTCCATCCATCATCTTACTTTCTTTCTCCCGCAGCGAGGAGGAAAGGGTGGCGCAGGACGTCGTACCGTTGGGTCTCGTGCTCGGCGAAGACCTTGCGCTTGGTGTGGTCGCGGATGATCTTGATGTTGACGAAGCAGCCGAGGTCGAGCTTCTTGGAGCGGAACATGGACATGATGGCGGTGGTGGGGGTGGTGAGGATGACGGTGAGGGAGGTGTCGTGGGCGTCGTGGGCGGCGTCGTCGTCGTTGAGGTGAAGGTGCGCACGGCGCCAAGCATGGGAACCTCGCCAAGCATTTTTATTGGATAATTTGCCGCGGAGGTTTATGATAAGTTGCGCATTCCTCACGAATACTAGACTAGGTAATACAGGGAGATAAAGATATGGATTGTTGAAATGGCATGTGCTAAAACCTATATCGCTCAATATATATGCTTACCCATACCCAAAATGTGACCTTGTGAAGCGTCGTACAGGTGGGCCGCGAGTACTCGGTGACGCCTGGTACTACAATAAGAAGAGTTCCTGCAACTCGTTCGCCTCAATCACAGTTCTACTTATCGTGGCGCCCAATAGCCGGAATATTGGCACATAACACGGTGTTTACAGCAACTATACTTCAGGTAAAGGCGTTCAGTCCCCGCAAGGCGCAATTGGCAAACTAAAGAAATACGACAACTAAAATTCGTCAGAGCATCACTCCAAAATGTTTGATAGGTCGAGAAATGTCGTAGACTTGACTCGGCAGTCACCACCAATCGACCTGTCTCAGCCTTATGACCCTGATTGGGTGTCCGCCAAGACAATTCTCATTACTGGTGGTGCATCAGGGTTCGGCGAGCATTTCTTCAGAAAGTGGGCATCACACGGCGCAAATGTCATCATTGGAGATATCAGTGACAAAAAGGGGATAGAACTGGTCGAGGAGGTTCGTGCTTCGACGGGCAATAAAAATCATCACTATATCCACTGCGATGTCACGATATGGCAATCGCAGGTGGACTTCTTCCATCAGGCACTCAAGCTCAGCCCAACTGGTGGGATAGACAGCGTCGTGGCCAACGCTGGTATCAATGGCTATGGCGGCAGGCCATTCTGGGATCCTCCGGGTCTCGACGCAGACAGCCCACCCAAACCAGATATGAAGTGCCTCGAGGTAAACCTGATCGGTGTCACATACACGGTCCATCTCGCACTCTTCTACTTGAAGCGGAACCCAAACTCTGATGTAGCAGACCACAAAGCACAGCCATCAGCAAACAGGCCTGACCGGCACCTGCTCCTTATCGGGTCTATCGCTTCCTTAGTTACTATCCCAGGGCTGACGCAGTACAATGCTTCAAAACACGGCGTCCTTGGTTTGTTCAAGTCGTTGGGAACAACTGCCTTCATGGGCGGCTTGCGCGTCAACATCGTCCTCGCTTACTTCGTCAGCACGCCTCTTCTCCAGGCCGGAGCCCGCGTCCTACTCGCTGGCAACCCCATAGCCACGCCCGAGGACGTGATAGACGCCGGGACGCGCTTTATGGCAGACGCGAGGATTTCAGGGCGCGCCTTGATGATTGGGCCGAAGGTTAAGGTTAGGGCTGATAACGAATGGGAGGTCGTGCTGCAAGAGGATAAGGAGGGAGTGGAAGTGACTGTACGCGAGGTATTCGTGGATGACTTTGAGGTCGTGGAGGCGTTCTGCGCGAGGTTGATCAAGTTGCTGAACGTGCTCGAGGCAGCTCGTGGGTGGAGCGGGTGGTTCTCTGATATGTTTGCTGCGATAACATATCGTGTCCTTGTTATATTTGGTCTGAGGAGGAAATGATAGGGGTAAAGAGTGGAAGAGTTAATGAATACTACGCCCTCATATTTACAGGCATCCTTCTCACCTTCCTGATGCACGTACCAAGATTGTTGCGGTCGAATTGGCGAATCCTCTTGAGCCGCTGGCGGGGTTCCGGTATAATAACCGCAGACCCCGCTGTTGCTGACGGTGCCTCAACTCGGTATTTACGAGGATCGAGCCAGTCCTGTCAGACGGATAGTAAAACGAGTCATAACACCGATCTGGCCTAAAAATCAGATATATACATACGTACCTAAAGACTTCCCAGCCGACGTTTTTTTATCCCTAACAGAACTCTATAATTTCAGCTACAAACATATCACTTGGCATGGCTGACAAATCCGGACAACAAAAGATTACTCTCATTCCATGGGACCCTGAGTCGCAAGAGCACGTCGACAGACTCTATATACAGCGCGTAGCCTGTGGATGGAAGGCCGACAAGGTTGAGAAGTGGCGCATTCGCCAGAGGGACGGGTCGATGTCTCTCCATTGGGTTGTAGGTTTTAATTCCACGTGACATTATATTATTGATGTCTTCACGATTCATCCAGCTCTCTAGACCTAACTTTGATCTCTGACTTCATATCATTATCTCAGCTACTGACATATTTCAGGTCCTCGACCCTTCCGATCCACAAACGGCCGATCGGATTTCCAAACATATCACCAACCATCCAGACGAGGACACTCCACTTCAAGACTCAGCTGTAGCCGTCGGCGGCCGCCCTCGAGATTCATCCTCCTCGCGTTCGCTAGAACCTTTCGTGCCCGTAGGCCATATCAGTGTTGACACTGTGGCCTCCACCCCGGAGCCAACTCCCCTCTTAGCCGATCCAGAAAACCATCGCTTCCACCTGTCAGCCTTTTACATCTCCAAGGCCATCCAGGGCGGAGGCCTCGGCAATACAACGATGAAGACGGCTGAGCACATGGCTACGACCGTTCTCGGCGCCAAAGTCATCACGCTCGACACGTGGGACCGGAGGCTTATCATAGGCTCGAAGAAGGAGTGGCGAGAGAAGTTTGATTATTACTCGACGGGTCTAATTATGAAATTTGACTCCCAAGGCTGGTATCAGAGGCTCGGGTATAAGGTTATCAAGGAGATTGAAGAGTTCAATTCAACCAGTGGTTATTGTCTGAAGAGACCGGACGGACAGGCTTGGTGCATCCCGAGCGTGTATATGGAGAAGGCGGTAGAATAGAGCGCATGACAGGTCTGTCTGGTACTAGGTGTCAGCCATGTCGATTAAAACAGCGAAATAAACGTGTCAGGTACCCAAACCATCCATGTAATAGAATAGGAATAACTTGCCAGTCTCTCCGCATGCTGTATCATTTCAACACCAGGAAGCGGGTGTGGGCCGCCAGCCCATGCATTGTGCATTCTGACCCGTTTCTGACCGATTTAATGGCGAGCCTGGTGATATATCGACCCCAAGGGTTATGTCCACCCATTCCAGGGCTGTAAAGTAATGGCTACGCCTTCGTGCAAAGTCATATCAACGTGATTCCCACCTCCAAAACGGAAGCCTTCCTGACTCGTGCACTCTCCTCCCCGTCAACCTCAATGTCATCCACAGCGCCAACTTCTCCCGTCCGCAGCACGGCCTTACAGTCGTCCTGCTTTTGGAAATATAACGCTACATTCAATGCCTTCTCAATAGCTCGTCCTGTAGCTTTGACGATGACTTCCTCCTGATGTCCATCCCGTCCCTTGCCCGCGAATGCGACAAGTTCTCGGTCCGAGAGAGAGGAATTCGACAAGTCAATCGTTCCCATTGACCGATTGTCGATTTCTTTGAGATAGCCCCGCACCCGCTTTACGGCGCTGATAAATGGGGTTGTTGAACGGAGGTAGACAACCTTCTGGACGCGGGAGCCAGTTCTGGGTGGGGCAATCGGGGGGTGTATTAAGGGTCGCTTGCTAATTTGCGCTCCTGAAAATAGTATATTAGTATATGTAATGGCTTGGAATGGTTGCGCGTTTACCTTTTGGGAGACGAGGGAGTTTGGGGTGCTCTGGTTTTGCTGTTTTCGTCGTGGCAGCAGCCTCTTTCCCCATTGCCGCCATTTAACACTTATAATGCCCTTGAATGGCCTTTGCAATCGCTCTGGGTAATAAGTAGACAAATTAAAGACTGTTATAACGTCTTGTGCTGTTCTTTATCTTTGCGACTCTCAGTCAAATCCTAGAGTGGAACCGTTCCATTATTGATGAAGTTGACGACACTAAAATACGGCAGAAATCCTACCGCCTTGCCAAAACGTCATGGCGACGCCTCCACAGGTCGTCGTCCAGCTTCACCATCCATACAGAACATCCGGCAGGCTGCTATGTCAACAACAATATGGCCACCTATAGCTCCCGATGAGCTTAAAAAGGCTGAATCGGACACATTGGTACGTTTTATTTCCATTAATCTCTTGATTTGAGGTTATGAGCCATGAAAGCTCCTATTAACGCAACACAGGCGAGAGAGCTAGCATGGCTGCTCGACCATCTACAGGAGACTCTTGCAGGTTTCAAAGAAGCACTCGAAGAATGCAAGGCTCTCCTAGCGCCGACAGAGCCAGGCTCTATCCTGGCTATGAGCAGCGTGCGCAGCGAAATCGTTAAGGGCCATATAAATCGTGTAGGAACAATGATCGTCAAAGGCGTCAGTTTGTGCTGCTGTTTGAGAGACCCCCCGCTAACCTTCTTGCAGTCCCTCGTCTTGCGATTGAGACACTATTCCCCTACCCAGCTAGCAGTCAATGCGACCCATCCGCTTATCCTCCCGACCCTCTCTTCCCTACGGGAACTTCTGAACCAATCTCTCGACTGCATAGACATCACCTGCTGGACCGGTGACCGCACCTCGGCCCCCTACATCTCTTCTCAACTTCGTCTCCTGCATAGCCTCTTGGGCGAGGCGCATTCCAGTCTCAAAGGCTCCGCGGCCGCTCAGGTCGATCGTCAATCGTGGTTACGACCTGTGGACCCAAACCACTTTCAGCCCCCATTGCCCGATAACCTCAGCCTGGATTTCAGCATCCAGGAAGCCAGTATCGTGCTCACAATAAGGGTTTTAGAGTCGGCAGATGCGGCTCCAGATATTAAGAGTCGTTTCGCAACGGTATTTCTGACGAAAAGGGCCGAACATGACGAGGAAGATCTCCGCTTTAACTATAATGGGAGTGATGTAAAGGTAAAGGAGAAGGTAAAGATAGACTCGGCTGACCCGAATTTGATGGCTGCAATGGCGAAGCTGGCTGCTCTAGAGCACGCGGTGGGGATGGCACGATGTTGCCTGGCTGTTGTCATGGAAGAGGATGTGGAGGAGGTTGAGCGCTTAACCGCGTGATTAATGATAATGCTCAAAGACGCTCAAATGTTCAAATGATAGTGCCTATAACACAACCTAATAATCTTAAATTATATCCCACCCACAAGCATAACGCCGCTGACGCCAATCCATCGCATTCACTCAGTCTCACACTTAGAGGTCGGATAGCGTGCCTACTCTCCTACCAGCGCTTCCTGCCGCCGGGGCGCTTCCGCCTACTTTCCTTCCCCTAACCCAGGCTCCAGGCCCGCCGGACGGTGGAACGCTATTCACATTCCATGCGCTGTCCTCAGCGGCCTTATAAGCGTCAAAAGAGAACAGACTTGTGAAGTAAAGTCCCAAAAACGCGATGACAGCATTGATAAAATTTCGGACGTTCCAAGACACAGGGCGCTGTAGCGATTGGGCAGGTCGACCTGGAAGAGGGGTTCCACCGAGTGTTCGACCTGGTGTTGAGAGTGGAGATGCAGGCGCGGCCATTTTAACGGCCTCCTCGACAGCAGAGGTGAGGCCACGAGGGTCTGCACCACGAAGAGTCTTAATCACCGAACCATTGCGGAAGATGAGGAAGGTGGGCATTCTGTTTCATGGTCAATAAAATGCACAGCATTACGTGACGAAAGTGGGTGGTTGTGGGGAAACATACGCGCTGACCCCATACTTTTGGGCAATCTCCTGTTGATTATCCACATTGACTTTGGTGAAGGTAATGGCGCGGGGCTTTGAGAATTTGGTAGAGAGTGATTCGAATACTGGAGAGATGGTTTTGCAAGGTCCGCACCAATCGGCGTAGACTGGGCGCATTAGAATGAATTCGAGGACATCAGGCAGCAGGTCGAGGGCAGAGCTTACAGTCAGTGATAACAACACTAGATGACTTGAGGATGCTAGCAAACTCTGCCGCTGAGCCGATGCTCACTGTTGAAGGCATTTTGACTTCAAATTTGTTAACGAGTACAAATGTCGTTGGGCCGTTGGTATTGGTTTCAAAGCTCAGAGCAATTGGCAAGGTGGTGAGATGTGACGGTTGTAGGAAGGCCAGGATCATCGGCGCTAAGCTTCTTACCGCAAAGTTGGACAATTTCTGCCCGTCTTTGGTGTCACCGCCCAGAAATATATTAGTGAACCCAAATCCACCGTCCGCCTTCATTACGCAAATCAAGCAACATGGGGCACGAGGGGGTAAATAACAAGGTAGGTTCATATCGCCAATGGTTGAACTATGTATCTAATATCTACACAGAAGCGTAATCGCAATGGCGATGTCAAAGGCTCACAGGACGCGGCCATTTATGGCCCCGGTAAGGGGCGAAGCTGGACAACCAGCCTTGCAATTCCAGGGAACATCATAGATATGTAGGTTCAATTACTTTACCAGCTTTAAAGATTGAACTGACTTCTCGCAGGAATATGAGTCTAGAATCCCGCTCCATCATCGCTTCTCAAATCGCCCGCGCAATCTCTACCTTCAGAATCGACGAGGTTATCATCCTCTCGACCTCAACCTCCCCACTCGACTCCACCGCTGCCTCTACCGACTCAGCCCCGTTCCTCCTCCGCGTTCTCTCTTACCTTGAGACACCTCCATATATACGCGATCGCCTTTTCCAGCCTGGCAAATCGGCAATCCACCCAGACCTCGCTCACATCTCTACGCTTTCCGCTGCATCGACGGCTCTCCCTCACCACGCCTCTTTCGCCGAAACACTTTACCGTGAAGGCGTCACACTTAAAGCCCAAGAAGAAGGGACTTACCATCGTCTCGTCAATTGCGGGTTACCCAATGGCATCCTCGCATCTATCCCTGACCCCATACCGAAGAGTACGCGGGTTACAGTGAAACTCTCGTCGCAAACACCGTCGGGAGACAGGACATCTATTCCAGCGGAAGTCGTTGCACCATCCGAACCACGCGAGGAGATTGGGCAATACCTTGGCTATGAAACTCGCACGTCGCCATCTCTGGTGTCTTTCTTCGAAGACTGCCCGTATGACGGCGGCTACGATATCTCTATTCTTGTATCCGACTCTGACGGCGACGATGCTGGGAATATATCTGCGGCAAATTCAAAGTTTCAGCACATTCTTTTGGCCTTTGGCGGGGCAGAAAACTTTGAGGAGTTGACGAAAAACGACCCGAAACTTGGGAGCCTTGATTTGGACAATTTCGCTGATCTATTTGATCACACGGTTAATGTTGCAAAGGGCTTGCCATATGTAAATCCGGGTTCATTACGCGTCGAAGAGTTGGTATTAGTGGGATTGGCTGGCCTCAAACCACTACTGGCCGAACAATATAAATGATAATGGTATCCAAGGATCTCTTATCGCTATGCACGATGCAACTTTTTCTCATTGCTCTGGATTGTCTCTTGAATATAAATTGTGACTTGATAGGTATACTTAATAGATAAACAACAATTACTACGGGTAGCATAAGACACGGTTAGAATTTGAAGAGTATTTTCTATTTCTGTCTTGGGAGCCAAGCACTTTACGTCTTTAGTCTAAGATTTCCATGTTCAGGCAGTCTTAATCCCCCACTTCAAATCCCAGGCGTAGGTCTGATACCATAATTAGGCCAGGAGATGGTTCAGCCTCTCAGCCAGTACAGTCTCAAAACGAAGTTTTCCCTGATCTGACTCGGAAATTTCAGCCACTTGATCGCATCCCTTGGAGTAATCTTCGTCCCACTCGGGATATCCAGCACTACCCTTCATGTTGAGCAGGACAGCCATGTGGAAATGGTGCTTCAGGAGCGCAGGGCATAGCTGGTACTTGGCGGGAATGTTGTGGCGGCGAATCAGAGTTAGATTTTCGTATTGGGGGGCGTCTCGAAATGAAACCACCTGGTAACCATTCTACGGCTTCGTGTCAGAACGCGAAAATAATCTAAGAAATAGAGGGAGTAGAGAATACGTACATCGGGGTCGATCGCGATAGCATACTTATTAAAAAAATGATGTGCAGATGAGTCCAAGAGTAACCCGTTCTGGACCGATTTGATGCCCGACTCTGAAATATCGATATTGTCATCTGTAAGTTGCTGTTTCCATTTACCTGATACCCACTATAAAGCATATGTTAGAATGCATCGTCTACATCGAATATTTGGCTGTAGGTATACTATACCAATTCAAGGTGTGCGAGGGGAAATATATGGGCAGCTTCGAGGGCCGTGAAGTCAGGATCTGCTCGGCCAGTAATCACGCATCTGCCATCGCGGTTGCGGATTTGGTCGCGAAATTTCTCACTCTATTCAAGAACACCCGTTAGAAACCACTTATAATTGTTAGGGAGGTAGCAACTTACGCGGGGAGTGGCTGACGACCCAGATAGAGCTCGCGATACCGTACGGGGCAACGGCATCTGGCGGTTGACTGGGATTTTAACTGGCTCTCCAGCTGACTGAGGAGGACATAGAATCCAGGCTGGATCACATTGTTATTTGCCTGCAAGCTGATAGGGGGACCATGGCGGCGGACGGGGTCCTTTGGGTCTCCATTTTCAAGACAACGAAACGAGGCGAAGTCTTCGGCAGGAAGTTCAAAGACAATATCCATACGCTGGCTCATCTCTGCCCATGTGAGCGAGCCAGTCTGGAATGCACTGCTAATCTCGTCATTTTCGCTATTAAGGAAATGTATGTCACTCTTATGGCGCGATTCAATCCGATGACTTGGCATTTTGAGATGCCTGTCTTCAAATGTAGGTTTTTGAGGGTTGAAACATAAGGTAGAGGTTATGTGGAAAGATTATGGGGATTTATACTAAAAGTAGCCTCTAGCTACAAAGAACGTAAGGCAAACATAACAGAGAATCAGTGAAGTTGAATGCTCTTGGAGTGAATTTGAATTGAAAGTTCTCAGATATGAGTGAGATACGGTCCCGTAAGAAATGACGTCATGTCATCATCTCTTGTTTTCACGGAACTCAAGCTCATGCATTTTCGGGGAGATGAATTTCATTTGTTTCGAACTCTTGTCTACCCTACTGATTTCGTAGCATTTCTGCGTTTTGCTTATTTATACACCACCACAAACGCCACTCCGGCCTTTTTATCGTATATATGCAACACTATCTTACAACAATCACCCCCTACATATCAATACAGCCCTCAAAACAAGGCATCATCGCCATACTTGTCGGCCCCATGACGCCTCTCCCTATCATCATCGATCCTCTTCTCCCTCACAACCCTCCCGCCCTTAGTCCTCCTATCACCACGCCAAGGTTTCCCCCCCGTAATCTCCTTAACCCCCTCAAACCCCTCCTCCCCCATATCAACCTGATAAACATCCTTCCCACTCTTCCTCCTCTTCTGCGCCTCCACCATATCCCTCCCCTTCCACTTCCCCGCCTTCTTCGACGCCCTCATAACCTCCCTCGCCACATCCATCGGCTTCCCCAGTCTCGCCGTCCGCAGCACCCTCGTCTTCGCCCCCAGCGCCCACAAATCGCCCCACTTCGCCTTCCGCGCATCGCGGTACGCCTGCGCGCTGAAGGACTTGGGGACCGTCCAGCGCTCGAGCGTGCCAGCGGGCGTGCAGAGGTCGATGGATACGTGGCCGCGGCGCTTGAGGGGCAGGAGGACCATGCGTGGGAGAGAGAGGGTAGAGAAAGCGTCCGCGGGCTTCTGGGTGTGGTAGCCGAGGTCGGGGTCGGAGCCGGCTTCGTGGCCGGCGAATGCGGCGTCTGTGGCTGATTGGCCTTGGATTAGAGGCGCGGATAAGGATGAGGGAGAGGGATCGCGTGCGTCGACGCCGCGGCGTACAGCAATGTATGAGAACTTTGCGTCTTCGTGGTTTTTCCTGTTTGCGCCTAGGACGCGCTGTTGGAAGCCGGGGCGGATGTAGCGTTGGCCGAAGTGGCAGTAGTCTTTCCTCCCTGAGCTGATACCAGGCACGGGATACATTGGGCAGGTGAGGTGGTTGGTGCAAGGCGCGATGATCATGCCCTTGTCCTTTTCGATGTCTGGGTCGCCGTTATTGAGGTTTCCGTTGACAATATGTGTCGCGCCTGGCGAGGCAATATGCTTCTCAAGGAGCAACGAGCGAGCTTCGGCAATGGCCTCGAAACCTCTGGGAAGGCCCTTCTCGATTAAAATCAGGACACCACCATCGGGGTTCAGCAACGACCACAGGTTCCGGACTTGGTTCTTGCGCTTGAAGTCTTCTTTTAGTGGGAAGAGTGTGTGCGGTGCGATGATGACATCGTAGCTCTTACGGGCCTGGGGCTTGCTACCGTCCATTCGCCGCTCGTAGTTGGCGGAGTGTATGTAGTCTGGCAGCCTAGGGAGGAATGAAGTATTTTCAAGGACAACAGACATGCGATCACGCAGTGTCTCAGGCCCTGCAAGCACAGTAGACTTCCCAGGAACCTTTGTCCCTGCCTCAACAAGCCCTTCATCAGCCATAATATCCCACTCCGTCTGCATGATCTCCTTCCAAGCGATAGCGCCAGCACCACCAGCACCAGCATCAAGCACGCTCGGTCCCTGGCGGTCTTCGCGGAGAAGCATGTCTTGGATCCATTTAGGACCCAAACGCTTGCGGGTTTCGACGAGCGTTCCCATGACCGAGGCGTAGACGCCCGGCATAACGGCTGCCATGTACGCATCCGCTTCAATTTCGCTCATCCTATATTGCGACGCTTCGAGACCAATGTGCTTTTGAGGGAGCAGGCTGGAAGCGCTAGGCGTCGATGCAGAGTGTGGGAGTCCTGGGCCACCAAACGCCTTCTCCGCAGCTTCGGTCAAATGCTTGATATCCGATCGACGAAGTAACTCCGTTAGAGGCTGCACGAAGCTCTTTTCCGGGAGAAAGGTCGTACTCGGGTTTGTGCCAAAACGACCAGCCATGGTATACGGATGAGTGCGGATTTCGTCGCTATTGCTCCCAAACTCATCATCATCCCTTCCCCAAAAGTTGTCCTCCTCCATATCTTCCTCCACATCCTCGATACCCTCCTCATCAGCCACGAATTCCTCCTCCACATCTTGCGTCTCCTCTAGCGGTTGTTGTGCAAGCGCATTCTCCATATCTTGGCGTAGTCGCAGGATAGCGTCGACCTCGCGCTGGTTCTTGCCTTGGACGAGCATGTTCGCCTCCACAGCTTCTTCAACAGCCACCTCCATCTCTTGCAACTGCGCCGAGAGAGAACCCCGGGTATGTCCTGCGATTTCGTAGTCGACATTCTCTGAAGCATCCGCCTCTCCCAGCCCCTCACCAGCATACTCCTCTCCCATCTCGACCTCCTCAAATTCACCATCAGCGTTCTCTCTAAGAATCACATTACTGATCGGCCCATCCCACTCCCCACCCTCAAGATCCGCCTCAACAGTCTGCAAATCCTCATACGTCGTCTCCCTTAAAGGAGCCCCATACAGCCGCTCATACAACTGATATTCCTTCGCCGACAAAAAGTCCTTCGGCAACGTCTCCCCAAACGTCTGACGCGCATGTCTAACTGTCTCTTCAAGCGACCCCTTCCCCTCTGCTACATTCGAACTAACCAGTTCCGCATCCCTGAACCGCAATGTCGTCGAGAACGCCCTCAAGGAGGTCGGAGTGGCGATGCCGCGACGGATAGGACGCGATCGCGTTGGCGTGGTGGTGCGCGTAAAGCCGACTTCAAATAGGGATTGGAGATGGAATAGACAGGATTGACATGCCTGCGGCACTCTTCGTGCAGCGAGCATCGTGGATATTGAGTACGCTTTTTGCGAATGATGGGGAGGAGGGAGACTTTTCTTGAGAAGGCTGAGATATCATGGAAGGCTTGGGGCCTGAGGCGAATATGTTTATTTCAGGTCACTGTGATTGGCCATGAGGATTGACTAAGAATCAAGACCCCTGTACCTAAGCGGGACCTACCGACCTGCGTCCTGATAATAGTACGGCAACTACTACCAACCATAATGGCAGATCCATAGCCTCCTCAACAAGGCTGTACCCATCCAGAGGCCAATTCCCGCAGCATCAACACTTTCACCGTCCATTCTCAACCTCACCTCCAACCATGGCACTCTTTTAACACAACAAACACCCTCCCTCATCACCATGCCAGGCCATCTCCAACATCTCCAACACCTCCACCTCTCCGGCCTAACCCCCTACCCCACCGCCCAATCCCTCCAGCGCCACCTCGTCCGCGCCTTCCTAACCCACAAACACACCCCCTCCACCCCCCTCCCTCCCCCACCCTCCTCACCTTCACACCCCCCCCATCTACACCACTGGGCGCCGCGAGCTGCCCTTCTCCTACCCCCCCAGCCTGGTTTCCAACCTCCGCGCGCCTCTCGACAAAAACACCCCATGGGGCGCAGACTTCACCCCAGCTTCGAGGGGGGGATTGATTACATTCCATGGGCCGGGACAACTGGTTATCTACCCGACGATATCGTTGAATCACCCGCCGAGTTTTGGGAAGCCGATAAGTCCGCGCTGTTATGTGTCGTTGCTTGAGAGTGTGACGATTCGCACGCTGAAATACTACGGGATCCAGGGGTTCCGCACAGCTGATCCAGGGGTATGGGTGAACCCTAGACACAATCGGAGTGTTGCTGGACAAGAGGGAGGAGAAAAAAAAATCGCAGCCCTCGGCGTGCATCTCCGGCGCAACGTAACGAGCTACGGCGTCGGCTTCAACGTTAGCACAGACCTTCGGTGGTTCGATCGCATCGTCGCCTGCGGGATCGAGGGGAAAGGCGTTACCAGCCTTGCTGAGGAAGGGGTTATGGAGAAGACGCTGGGGGAGGTTGCGGGGGTTTGGGTGGAGGAGTTTGGGGAGGAGGTTGGGGCGGGGGTGAGGGCTGTGGAGGTGGGGGAGGTGTTGGAGCAGTTGGGGGTAAGGAGTTTGGAGGACCTGGAGGGGAATGGGGATGCTATTTAGGCAGAGATATATAGTGGTATGAGGTGGTTATCACTTTCGACGGGAAACCAAAAATCCAGCATACACGAGGCTGCCGACACCATAGCGTGTGGCGGCACAGCACATCCCACACCTCACGGCGATTGCATCTCGCAACACACACATCACATCATTCCCCGGAATTCGTAAAATTCGTAGCTCAACATGTCAACGTACTAATCAATTACCGTCGTCGTTTACTGTCAGAAGCACCGTTCGTCCCCAAACCACGTTGCACATCATCATCAACGCCCACTCCCACAAACCCCAAAGTTATATCATCATCGTCAAAAAAACAAAAAAAAAATAACGCGCAGTTATCGCTGTCCTCAAGACATCCATCAAATCGTTGCCTTGCATTTCGCTTCCCATAACGCCGCGTTATCAGAGCCAACATTTATTACTGTTGGAAATTTCCCAAGCTATGCCCCGCCCCCATCTTCTCATTAATCAACCAAACGCTCCCACCAGCCAACCAGCTCTGTTGAATTCGGCGTATAGCCCCTAGAGATAAGGATCTGCAGATGCTTATCTCGAATTAAGGCTTACGTGTCGAAACCATTTCCTCTCTCATATCCCATATCCCATGTCCCTTGACAGTTTGTTTCCTTTTCCTCCCTGATCCTTGTTGCCGGGTATGCCAGTGAATTTTGTTACGAAACTTGCGAGTCTGCAATCCCAGCCATCTCCTCTGGCTAACTTATGCCGATTTATGCCGCGCCGAGTCTCTCCTCGGTGCTTGAGGTCTTTCTTCGTCATCTGGACACCACTCTTCGGGCTGAAAGTTGGGGTTGTTGTAGTGTGCAGTGTTATAATGACTGTTCTTAAATGTGTTTGTCTGGAACGACGATTGCTGCGCCGATGGGTCATTCCAGTCGCTTTCATACTCATATTTCGAGTGCCTGAACTGGCTGCCTAGGTTTGGCGGTGGCGCCTCCGTCGGCGTGGGTGGGACAGCGCGAGTAAGCTGCGGTTGTGACGGCCCGCTATGTATTGGTAATGCTGCGGGAGGGAATATCGGTGTGTTGGAGGCCTGGGAAGGCACTGCCGATATCGGCGAGACAGACGGCATGGTTGGTGTTGACACTGACGTATCAAGTGAGTATGAAGGCGACATTACAGGCTTGCAGTCACCAAGTGCGGCATATGTCGGAGTAAACCCCTGGTTACCGAGAGGCGCCATTGATAGACCAGGTATGCCAGCAATACCCGACAGATCAAAGGAGTGAAAGTTTGTAAGTGGAGACGGGTCCTGGACACGGTTGAGGATACCAGCGCGGTTGACCTGGATATTCGCCGAAGCGGATGCCCCGTCGATGATCTGTTGTTGCCGCAAGGAAAGAACATGGGTCCTCTCCTTATACAAGATATCATAATGACCAGGACGGTATAACAGGTGGACCATGGGGGCTCCAGCGTGGATCGGGGTGCCACTTTCATCCTCAGCCTGGATGATATGGCTATTAACGTCGGTGCCCTCACTCCGGTCCAGATAAACTATCTCAACGGCGATACCAACTGGCTTCATTAGGACATCGATCAGAAGGGTCATGCCCAAGTGTTCAATCTCGGTTTTTGCGGGCTCAATCATGTTTTTGCTGTAGTTGTCGACACCAAGTCCATCTGGGATAAAATCTCTGTAGGTGACAGCGTTGGCCTTGAGCCACGCGCTGGCAAGCAGTCTGAAGTAGTAGATAATGGCATTGGAAATCTCCTCGTCGTTAAAGCGTAGGAGGATTATTGAATCCGAATCAGACGTCGGCCCCACATGCACCGTGGCAGCAAGGTCGCTCAAAAGGTTGAGCACTTCCTCTCTCATGTCCTCAAAGAGCCATTCTTGGTAGCCACACCATGTTTCAATGAAACTTGTTAGTGACATCATACGTGCGATCTCTTCTTCGAGCTGGTCTTTGCTACCCAGCTTCTGGAGCGTCTCGAAGTATGAGTAGCCAATCGCTAGAGAAGTCAGTACCTTGCTCCATCATAAACTGATCTGAGGATGCAAAATATATTTGCAGCTGAGTCTGGAAGGAAATGTGCAAGTGAATATATGAATGAGAATACATACCACGCCATCCACAGTTGCCATCGCCAAGTACAGGTCGGTAGTGGCTGTAAGTCTGCGGCAATTTCTTTGGGGCAGCAAGTCAGTAATGATTACTATACACAGGTGAAGCCAACATACCGCAGTTTTGGCAACGTAGATCGGGTCAGCTTTTGCGTATTCCTCCGTGATGGCATGACTGCTCTTCTTGGGCCTAACCAAGGGTCCCTATCAGACTGTAAGTTCATTGGGCTCAGGTCAAAGCAGAAACGAGGTCCTACTTTTAAGTCTGGTTGATACTCTCTTGCAAGCGCCTCTTGGGCCTCCAAGTCACCGGCAACAGGCGGGGTATTCATTGTGTTGTTGTAGCGCTGAGGTAGATTAAGTTGGTTCAAATTGCCGCCGAATGAGCCAACGGTGTTGAAGATCGGCTCGTCGAAGGTGGTCGGCCCTCTGCTGTTTAACCCCAGATTGGACGTCGCGGCTTGGAAGCTATAGTCACCATGTGGGTTATTGTTTGGTATTGAAGAGGTGTACGCAAAGGACGTGAACGGGGTCGCTTGCGGTTGAAACATCTCCCCGCTAAAGACTGGAAAGTCTGTTCCTTTATTGTAAAGTAGGCACGAACGGGAGGACGGAGAACGGAACGGAGAACGGAGAACGGACGATACTGTGCGTTTAAGGCGAAGATAAGCCACTAGTCGCTCGGGCTTTCGATATGTCCGTACTCTTTAATTTTGTGGTATGGAGTCCTGGCAGTGTATAATTCGTGTACTGCCCCAAGACGATATATGAATGCGCGATACGGTATGTTCTTTCAAAGCTCCAAATAGGCTCCTCTTTTATCAACGCTTTGTCGAGCTCGCGCAACAGCGAAGTGGAAGCCGGCAGTATGGATGGCAACGAGTGGCTTCGATGGCTGCGAGTGGCTTCGATGGCAACGAGTGGCTTCGATGGCTGCGAGTGGCTTCGATGGCTGCGAGTGACTTCGATGGCTGCGAGTGGCTTCGATGGCTGCGAGTGGCTTCGATGGCTGGGAACGAGTGTCAATAACGCATTAATTGCAGCGTCTGATGACGAGGGCGAGATAGTCAACGAGGATCAATTAACTATTCCAATTCCGCATCGGTTGCACCCGGGTATACCTGTTGCCGGATGACGGCCAAAGGGATGTGGAGGTCGTGGAGATACTGCGGAGGAGGAGTCTTCGGGCCAGATGAAGTCGGAGGATGGTGGAAGCGGGAAGAGCAAATGGAGAGAGTTGCAGAGCGAGAGAGCGCGCTCGCTTCGTCTTGGATGAGGGTCGACGGGGTATTTAGAGTAGCTCAGCGCCCGTGTAGTCTCCACCCTCATGCGTGCTGCCGTTGAGGAGACCCTTCTTTACCGGCGCAAAAGGCACGTCGCAAGATGAGAGAGAGAGGGGGGGGGGGGGGGGGGGAGGAGAGAGCTCGAAGGTGTATTGGGGAGGGATATCGGAGCCAATCTATTCTGTATCCTGGCAGCTGCGAGCTTCGGTGTGTTTATGCGACCACGGGCATGCTGAAACCGACAAATTCTGCACGTGAGTATAATTATATATATTGAGGGAGGGTAGTAAGTCGAAGGCTGGCTGATGATGGATGATTTGATGGGGGGGGAGTCAGAGTAGGGGGTAGGGGGTGAGTAGGGGGTGAGTAGGGGGTGAGTAGGGGGTGAGTAGAGTGTCGACCACTTTATGGCTTGTGATGGGCTGGCGTATGGGCTGGTGGGAGTTATTTTGATAGGACAGGATAGTACTGTACGTACGGTATGGTATGTATGGAGGGGTAGTACAATACTTTAGATACCTTACAATACAGACATCCTACATACATAAAACCTCATACATTATAGATAGCCGTAGAGAGAGATATATACTCCCCTGCCGACTAACTAAACTAAATGGACCGTGGGATGAGGAGTTATGGATATGGGTATGGGTATGGGTATGGGTATGGGGGGGTATTGGGGGGGAGGTTGATAGGTATGGGTATGGGGGTATGGGGGGGTATGGGGGGTATGGGGGGTATGGGGGGGTATGGGGGGGTATGGGGGGTATGGGGGGGTATGGGGGGGGTATGGGGAAGGGGTATGGGGGGGGGTAGGGGGATAGGTATTTGGGGGGGGGTAGGGGATAGGTATGGGTATTGGGGGGGGGCATAGCTGAGTCCCCGTTACAGCGCCTCCACCCATCCTCCACCATCGTCAACTCTCATCCACTTCATAATCCAACAATGTCACTTCCAACCAACACTTTTCTTGCCGAGACAAATCTCCAACCAACCTGAGCCGTAGCGCGCGGCTACTTCTCCACTGCGGCCTCCACTTACTTCAAATTACCATACATAGCGCTGGAATGGTGGAAAACAGTGAAAATAGGTACTTGTTTTCCTCAGAGACCTGTCTGACTGAAGGCCCTTTTTAGCCCCAGCATCTATGCTTGCCCACCGCAACACAAAAACGTACATCCCTAACACATCCTACCCTGTTTGTGACCCTTCCACCCGGTTACCTCTCGGTCGCGGCCAAACCTGATAATGGCAGGCGTTCGTGCTTTTCCCGTCTTACTCGGCTTCGGATGGTCGCATATAATGAACCGGCGAGATGCGCGAGCAAAGGGAGGGGAGGGCGGGAAGCTGCTGCATGGGATGGGCAAAGCAGGCAAGACAGTAAACTATCCAAGTTAGACTCGTTGGTCTGCTTACATGGGTGTACATAATCGAGGGGTCGCATGGAGCAATGGCAGCACCAACAATAGTCGTGAAGCACTTGGACAAGCCACCGCTTACCCTGCCACCCACACCCACACCCACAACCCACAACCCACAACCCCGCCGATTCACCGCACCCCCCCCTCGCAAGAGCTATACACTTCTGGTCCTCCATAATGCAGATCACTACTGCCCCTCGGCCAGGGCCAGACTAAACGGCCTCGAACGACGCCGGACCACCCACAGAGAGAGAGAGAGGGAGGGATGCCAGGGAGGCCAGGTTCATAGTCGGCAGCTAGCTCCCGCCTCGTCCCGCCTAGGCTGCGTCCTGATGCCCGGCGATTTGTAGAGGCAGGCCACCAACCCCCTCCCCCCCCCGAACAGCCCATGCATGGGAAAGGGAAGTCCCTCAACCTCAACCCCAGAGACCGGTCACACGTCCATTTATTGCTCTTACGCGCGCTGAAAACCAGCACGCAGAGCTATGGAAGCAGCCCTTGGCCGAGCTATGGTCACAAGCTAGACACGTGTAGTGGCAGGACGCTGACGCTACGCATACTAATGGACACAGTAAGCAGTAAGAGCTGATAGTCTGTCCTATCAGCCAGCAAAGTATACTACATAGCAGTGAAGGCGATTCGATGGTGTTTGTTTCATCGCATTACTAATCTTCCAAGAAACCCCATAGTCAATAGCCCCATAGTCAATAGCCCCATAGTCAATAGCCCCATAGTCAATAGCCGATGGTTTCATAACATCCACGGCATCACGGCTTCACGGCTTCACGGCATTCACGGCACGCATTTTTTATTACTTCTCTACTCCGGGACCCGCAAGGAACTGGAGGCCTCATGTCCTGTCCCCACTTGACTCTCTCCTTTCATCAGTCAAAGTTCCCTTTCCCACGGCTTCACACACACACACACAATCAACCCGCGATTAAATCCCCACATTATTCGGCAAGCGAGGAGAGGGGAGAGGGGCGCCAACTAGACCTACCTGCCTGTCCTTCGTACGGGGGTTACATACTAGAGGGTTTCGCTCAAATAGCATAAGAATAACATGATTTGCATATATTAGAATAGGTTTTAGGTTAAGCCATTGACAGGCTACCCTAAAATTGGCCTTTCTCTCTATAGTTAGTGCAATCACGTGAGTGTAATCTAAAGTGCTTTAGCTAAGTTATGTAATTGTATGTTCTTGTATGCACCTACGTTGCATATTTAATATTTATGTAACGCCAGGACATAAGAAGACCAAAAAACAGTCCCTATGTACCAGGTTTGGCATGCAATTGGAAATACGCTAGTAGGGATATTGCAAGGGTGTCAAATATCTTTCCTCTTTCGGTATGCAATCATGTTATGCAATCCGGTCAGGGCCCAGGTCCTGAACCCCCCCCCCCCGCCCTCCCCTCCCCCTATCGCGACAATTCGCACTGGGAGAGCCATCGAGTGCAGATCTCCGATTTCTGCCGGGGTCCCTCCACCCCAAGCACCCTCCCCACTCCCAATCCCCCAAAATCATGCAAAAACGCCACCCTTCCCCCGCCCCTGGAAGGCCTGGCCCCTCTTCTGGCCCGTGTTCCTCGTCGCGCCCCTCCCCTGCACCGATGGGACCATCTCAGCTTGATCGTCCGCTAACCCCATATCCGCGGACTGCGGCGCCTTGAAGCCCTCACCGTCCCTGAAGACCATCTGGTACAGGCTCGTAACAGCCGAGCTCCATTTCTGCATCGCCAGCAGGTGCTCCTCGTCGGCGGCGTCGTCAACCTCCATCGTGCCTTCGTGCTGGTTGATGCGCCCGTGCACTTTCTTGTCGACGATCAGGAAGCCCAGGATGTCTTGCACTTCCGGGATGGAGATCGAGAGCTGCTTGGAGATGAAGGAGAGCCGGAAGCGGGTGTAGGGCGCGATGAGCTTGAGGACCGCTTTGGTGCGCATGTTGCGCGTGACTTCGTCGATGTTTTCGGCGATGAAGGGGTCGGCGAGGAGATCGGTGTTGGTGTGTAAGACGGACTCGTATTTCTGGATGTCGTCCCTCTGGTATGCGTCCACTAAATCAGTCATAGCAGCGATTCTCGCGTCGCCCTTGTACGGCTTGGTCTCCTGTGACTCGAACGGGTTGATGTCCGACTTCATCAGCATAGTCGTGAGGACGAGATACTTCAGAACCTGGATCCTCTGCAGAGACCCAGCTTCATCGTAGTTCCGGAACGATTCGAAGAAGTCGCTCTGCGCGTCCTTCCAGTTCTCCTCGCTCATGTGCATCTTACCACCGCATTCTCGGATAATGCCCATGATTTTTGGATGCGGCACAGCTGATCGCACCTTGAGCGCTCTCTCGTACAGACGCTTCAGCTGCTTATTATTCTTGGTATCCGCATACATCTGGATCTCCATTGCGTAGACCTCCAGCGAGTATGTGCCTTTATTTGGGTCGTCCGCGCCGTCCTCCCTCTCACAAGCCCTGTGAAGCTCCCGTACCTTCTTCATTAGAGATGTGTAATCTTTCCGGTCGAGGAATAGCTTTGCGAGCTTGATATTTGTCTTGAGCCACAGCCTTTCGTTGTTGGTGCTCTGGAATGATTCGAGCGTCTGAGAGTAGAAGTCCTCCATACATTTCCGGGCTTGAGGGTCATCGGATCCCTTCTCAATATAGTCGAGCATGTTATTTATCGATTTCTCGGAGTAATTTCTCGTAACGGCGGACTTGACGTATGTTAGGAGCTCCTTGTAGTGCTCGACTGCCTTCGTAAGCGTTAGCAGAGTTCCATATCACGACACAATCTGAAAAATAGCAATAACATACCTCGCCATATTTCCCGGTCTTAAACTCAAGCTTGATAGCCTGTTTAAGTCCTTTAAACCCCCACTCGCCCTTGTCCTGCTCCAGCTTGGGCACCTCAAGAAACTCCTCAATCGCCTCTGCTGGATATTCGGATTTCATCTGCTTCGCATTATAATATTTGTTTTCGATATCGACATCCCCATCCTCTTCCTCTCCATCATCCTCGTATTCGAAGTCATATCTAAGAATGTTAGTGATTCCGGAGCTTGCGGAGGTGCATAGCTTCATAACTTACTCCTCCGCATCTGAATCCTGCATGAAGTCGTCGCCATCGTCGGACATCTTGAATACGGGGGGCGAAACACGCTCCTCTGTAATATATAGCCTCAGTATGTAATGCCTACAGCGCAGATCCGAGATGTGGTTTTGAGCGGTGACGAGCTGCTTGTTTGGTTGTTTGGTGAGAGTGCCGTAAGGCTACCCTCACAGCCAGTCGCTATCGATTTATCGATTGGTTATCGCCTAAAACGTACTAGCGCTATGGCCCCAACGTTTCCGCCTCGCGATATTTGTGGAGCGGTCTCAGCCTTCTGGTTTTATCAATCGCAACTCTTGTCGCCTTTTCCTTCAACAACACGAAGAAGTTGACCTGCCCTGTGCCAGCGCCTACCGCACTGTTTAAGAGGATCAGCTTTGGATGATTTCTTATTTCTATATAATACCTACCTGGTGCTAATCTGACAACACCGCCAAGATGGGTGGCGACCTCAATTTGAAGAAGTCATGGCACCCAGTGCTCATGAGCAACCAGAAAAGGGTGTGGGAGGAAGAGAAGAAAGCGCTAGACGAACGCAAAAAGACCGAACTTCGAATCAAGGAATTGAAGGAGGAGCGAGCCAAAGAGGAGATTCAGCAAAAGCTCGAAGCAGCAGGGAGCCGAAAGCGTGTCGACAGAGTCGACTGGATGTACCAGGGGCCATCGAACGGGCAGTCTGGTACCACGGAAGAGATGGAGGGATACCTTCTGGGGAAGAGGCGCATAGATACCTTGATTAAGGGCAACGACCACAAAAAGCTGGAGAAGCAGGCTTCGGAGGACAGCTTTATGGCGCTACAGAACGCAAATACTCTAAAGGACACGGCGGCGAAAGTGAGGGAGGATCCCATGTTGGCGATCAAGAGACAAGAACAAGCTGCATACGAAGCGATGATGAACGACCCTATCAAGCGGAAGCAACTACTTGCGGCTATGGGCGGGGAGCCCGAGCGGAAGGAGAAAACGAAGGAGAGGAAGCATAGACACCATCACAGGCGTCACCACGACGATGCGTCGGATGATAGGGGACATAAGCGCAGAAGGGTGGATGATTCCGAGAGAGATGGGAGGAGTAGTAGGCATCGTCACAGCAGGAGGCGATCACGATCGAGGACGGCAGATTCAAGGTCCCGTTCGCCTGAGCGCGAGAGCACCAGAGGTGGAGAGAAGCGTGATTCAAGGGACGAGTCGCCTCGAAGGCGGCGCCAAAGATCAGTGTCACCTCGAAGAGGGCGATATTCGCGATCGCCTTCCCCTCGAAGGAGACGGCATTCGCGATCACCAACACCACCTATGGGAGAAGCGAGACGAGACCGGCGTCCTTCGCCCTCTCGCAGATTATCCGTATCTCCGCGTCGGAGATCTTATTCTCGTGAACGGTCGGGACTAAAAGGGTACCCTGGCCAACAACCTCGCCGGGATACCTACAGAGAGAGAGATTCGCGGTCCGATGGGAATGCAACGGGACGAAACGGAGATAGACCAAGGACGGGGCACAATGCCGGCCAAGCTGAAAGGTCCCCATTTCGGGGTGATGATCGACCACGGAATGCTGCACCTAGCCAGAGTGTAGAGGAACGAGAGGCGGAACGGCAACGGAAACTCGCAGCCATGCGGGACGACGCATCAGCGTTGGACCAAGACCGCGAGAAGCGGCTTGCTGCACTAGCAGAGAAGGAGAAGATCGATCGTGATGCGGACGAGGCGGCTAGGGTGAAGTCGTCTAAGTATAGCGATAAGGCGGATTTCGTGAATGGGATGCATCAGAAAGTGGGAAGTATGGGGCTTGCCGATCGTATCGGGAGAGGACGGCAGGGACTTCAGCGGGATGATTAAAGAGGGGGGGCACTGGGCCGTGTGGGACTATTGTACTCTTGAAGGGAGTCCATGCACAGTCAGTCAGTCACTCTTGGTACGGCATACATGCGGTATATATACAGGCAAATAGCACATAACTATCGGCAAATCTCCTGTCGTAGATGGCCAACTTCATATACAGGCACTGGAAAAACATCCAGAATCAAATCATTCGAGCAAGGAACAAACAATCAGCAGGCGTAGATCATCAGCCACGTGTTGAGGCCTGGATGTACAGTACCATGCGTGCTGTATCTGAGTAACTGACGATGACGATGATTTGCAAACAGCTCCGCAGCGTCCAATATATATTTACCCCGCTGGATTTGATCCCACTGGACTGTGAAGCTCCAATCAATTTAATTGCCGTGCTGCGAGAGGGAGTTTGCTTGCTGCAAGGTACGGCACATATGTGGAGAGCCTGATCGAGTAGTAACTTAGCTGTGGATGTGGATTTAGCACCAGTGATATATATCAGGTTCTGATATATCACATAAGTTGTTGATGCCACGAAAATGATAAAAGAACCTCGGAAATTTGCTGTCATGTACACCCTGGCTGTGTTGTCTATGTTGTTGTCCGTGTTATCTGTGTTGTTGTCCGTGTTGTTGTCCGTGTTGTTGTCCGTGTTGTTGTCCGTGTTGTTGTCCGTGTTGTTGTCCGTGTTGTTGTCCGTGTTGTTGTCCGTGTTGTTGTCCGTGTTGTTGTCCGTGTTGTTGTCCGTGTTGTTGTCCGTGTTGTTGTCCGTGTTGTTGTCCGTGTTGTTGTCCGTGTTGTTGTCCGTGTTGTTGTCCGTGTTGTTGTCCGTGTTGTTGTCCGTGTTGTTGTCCGTGTTGTTGTCCGTGTTGTTGTCCGTGTTGTTGTCCGTGTTGTTGTTGTTGTCCGTGTTGTTGTCCGTGTTGTTGTCCGTGTTGTCTTCTGTGGATCTCTGACTAACTTCACATCAACTTAGTCGCTCTGGGCGGCTGCCAGTGCCGGCCCAATTGGCCCCGACTCCTCCTGTCAACTCGCTCATCTCCACGTTCTCGCCTATGGATTGAAGTACAACCTTGCGACTAAAAGTATACTACGTAACCATATGCCTTCACCTCCACCACGCTTGCACTTCCCCAATCTCACAGACACATCGTCCACTGTCAACAACACTGTCAACAACACTGTCAACACCCTTATATCTCAATAGGTTATACCCAAACCCTCTCATCGTGCTCGCCGCGATCAGCCTCTCACCCTTTCGCTCCTCATCGACTATGCAGCTCTGCGGCGGAAGCAAGACCACCCAGCGCAAGCTGGTCCTACTGTACGTTGACACGCCCCCATTGAGCGACTCCAATCCGGGCGAGCCAACATGCGATCGTCTCCGAAATACTGACCAGATCCCAGGGGCGACGGCGCAAGCGGAAAGACGTCGTTGCTAAATGTCTTCACGCGAGGGTAAGAAATCTGCATGTGCAAATCACCACAACACACAATAGGAGTTAACGCCCACACCTCAGATACTTCCCCACCGTCTACGAGCCAACAGTCTTCGAGAACTACGTCCATGGTAAGAACACCACCACTCACCCCCTCATTACCCACCCACACCCTGCTAACCCAACCCCCCCCCCTCTCTCCAGACATCTTCGTAGACAACGTCCACATCGAGCTCTCCCTCTGGGACACCGCAGGTCAAGAAGAATTCGACCGTCTCCGCTCCCTCTCCTACGACGACACGCACGCAATCATGCTCTGTTTCTCCGTCGAATCCAAAGACTCCCTCGAAAACATCGAGTCCAAATGGGTCGGCGAGATCGCGGAGAACTGCCCGGGCGTCAAACTCGTCCTGGTAGCCCTGAAATGCGACCTCCGCGAGAACGACGACGCGGCTGAGGAAGAACCAGTCGTCGTCGCGGGTGACGGCCACCAGGTTGGGATGGAGAAGAAGGAGTGTATCACCTACCAGCAAGGCCTTGAGGTCGCGAGGCGCATTGGGGCGCTGAGGTATCTCGAGTGCTCGGCTATGCGGAACAGAGGGGTTAATGAGGCGTTTACGGAGGCGGCGAGGGTGGCGCTTTCGGTGAAGGGGGTTGGTGGGAAGGACAACTCGAAGTGTGTGGTGATGTGAGGGAGGCGCGCGCGACGGTTGGTGGTGTTCAGCGAGGCGTATCGGCGTTGGTGGATAGGTTGAGCGCCATCCCTGCTTATATGCGGGTTTTTTTATATTAATACTTCTTTTTCTTTCTTCTACGACGCTATTGTTTCGCCGAGGCGGGCAAGGTTCTTGGTTGCGAGGCTCGCACACTTGGGGGTTTTTTATGGCGATACACACTACGGGCCACCACACATGCTAAATAATTATGGGATTTGCATATATTGGAAGATGTGGGATCTTGGCTAGGCTCTTTGGGGAGGCAGATTTGGAGCCGGATCGTCGTCAATTTTACTGCACTGTATTTGTTTGTATATTGGCCTTGTATATGGGCGCACTGATTTGTTGTTTAAAACTTTTCTAGACTTACCGATGGTGCTGGCAACCTTGCCATTTTGTATTCTGGTCTATCTATTCTTGGATAATTTGAGCTCGTGTATACTTTCGCCGGGCTGTCAAGCAATGATGGTTGCTTCAGCTGTTATATATGCTTCACAGAAGGGTTCTACAATTCTATAGGTGCCAGCAGTCGAGAAAGAGACAGACGACTTCATTATGTAGAAGGCTCTGAACCAGGCGGTATGGAGTGATCATCGTCTACTTCGGGCTCTGTTGATGCTGTCGTCTTCCCTTTAGTCTGTACTGGTATACTCGACGTAGCGGCATTGTTCTCTGTTTCTTTCGATAACGAAGATTCTTCTTGCGCCGGCGCCTTGTGAATGTCAGACTCTGTCACTGTGGAACTTATCACGGTTGTGTCGCCAGTTTTACCAGCTTCCGAGACGTGGTCACTACTCGGTTTTGTGCCCGCTCCTCTACGTCTGGCTTCTGGGTGTCTTGTCTTTGTGTTTTCACATCATTCGCCGGTGACACGGCCTCGGTAGGTGCTCCTGTAGCCAGCTTCGTGGCCAGGTGCTTCTCTAACCAATTCTTATGTCCATCTGAGATCTTCAGAGCGTGATCAACGCTCTTGTGATCAACGCTCTTATGTCCATTCGAGAGCTTCAGGGCCTGCTCAACCTCCGCCGTCAACTTCTCAATCTCATCTTCCAGTGCCTCCTGCTTGGCACTAGGCGTCGCAGGCTCCCTCTCTGCTTCAGGCCCACCAACCCCCTTATAAACTGCTTCCAGCTCGTCCCTCCAACCCAACTCATCTGCCAGCCTCCGGACCTGCCCATCGCAGTCCCCTAGCAATAGAACGTCATCAGGCCTGCTCCCTAGGGTCCCTACCCTCTCCATGTTTAGTAAGACCCTTGGGGTTCCTTCCAGCGCCATATCCGGCAGAGATGCGAAGGGGTGAACACTGAGGCTGGTTCCAATGATGATCATCAGGTCTGCCTGGGCCGGCACATGTGTGTTCATATGAAACCTCTGAGGCAGCGATTCCCCGAAAAATGTGATATCCGGCTTAACAAGCCCACCGCACGCTTCGTCTTCGCAGTACGGGATATCTCCCGACTTGACGAACTCCCTCATGAACTCGCCTGGGTATTCAGTCTTGCAATCAATGCACCCCTGCGACGCAAAGCTTCCATGCGCCTCAACAACCTTCTCCGGCGGCACCCCCGCCGCGCGCTCCAAACAATCAATATTCTGCGTCAACAGCATATGCAACAGCCCCTTCTTCGCCAGCAACGCAATAAAGGCATGCGCCACCGTCGGTTTATATTTCCCCGGATACAGCTCCTGGGCGAGCATATAAAACGGCGCCGGGTTCTGGCGGAAGAAGGAGATGTCAAATACCGCCTCTGGGTAGGGCAGGTTCAGCCTCGCGAGGTTCGAGTAGAGCCCCGTGTCGGGGGAGCGGAAGTCGGGGATCCCGGCGCTGGTGGAGATGCCGGCGCCGGTGAGGACGACGACGCGCTTGGCTTTGCCGGATTTGAGGTAAGAGGCGACGGAGCTGATGGTGCGGTCTTGGAGGGTTTGGGAGGGAAGGGCCTCGTCGACCAGCTCGTGGGAGGAGTCTTGGCCCATTTTTGCGGTGAGGGCAGGGCGGGGGTCGTTTGGGGAAGGCTTCAAAGTCGAGAAATCATAAATATTTATATCGCTGGAGAGTGATTGGTGGACGGCGGGTTGAATTTTGGTGGGTAATCCCCAAAACGCTTCGGGCCATTCCCTGGTCTGGACTTTCTGCACTTGTGGTTCTTTTGTACGGCGGCTTTCCAGACCGTATTACTCTACGGTACACCATTCAGGCAACTGATGCGCTTTCGACCTTTCGCCGTAAGTTAAAGCGCCAACTACGACGAAACTTTGGTGTTGTGGTTCCTCCAACTAACGATAGTAAAACCCCTAAACTATTTTGAAGTTTTAATTTCACCTAAATACGTAAGTAAATATGTAAAGGTGTATGAATATATTTCAAATGTAGAGCTGAAACTATATCCATATACCTGAAGCGCGAACAAGCCGGTCACATAACATGAGAAATTAATGTCGTCCAGCTACTTGTTCTACAGCGTTGGTCGCCTACACCAACAGTCTTGGCGAACCTCCTCACAGTGTGAAGTTGTGAACAAGTGGAGCGACGCTACTCCCGTACATCAGACAAATAAATATCCATCGACAACAAACCCCCCAGCGACAACTCCGGTGCTAGAAGACGCATCTCAATCCTCGCACTGACTTCGTCAACTCATGCACAAGACGCTATCCACTCCAACTCGACCTTCGCCAATCCCTCGTCGTTGTCGTCACACGATAGCTCCCCTGGCTAACCAAAGCGAAGCTCCCTCGAATAACCTCATCTCCGGCCTTCCTAGCGCTGCTGAGGCCTAGATCGAATCCGTATATCACAGTATCCAAGTCCAGATTTGTATATCACCGCACCTGAGCTCAAATCCGACATTGCTGGGTCCCCAAGAACGACGCGAATGAGAAGGACCGTGGTCACACGACAACGCGCCGGAGGAATCTTCTCCTAGGATATATCTGTCGTTACACTCTCTTGATAGGAGCACAGATGACGGCTGTTGCGAACCCACCGAGTTTCCAGCAACCACTCAATCGGACGCAATGGAGTTCTAATGGTCAAAGAGCCCTCAATTCTATGAACCCCGACGAAGTCGCTCGGATGTTCATGCCGCGAAAGAGTGTACAGCGCGCCAATTCATCATCCTCCCTCTCCTCTAACTCATCGACCTCGTCCTCGGGTACGTCTACGATGTCGAATACCTCCCAACAATCGACCGAAAGCTTAAATCCCCTGAGTGACGTCGGTACGTGGTCGAGCACGGCGGGGACGCGGAAAAAGCCACAGAGAACTGGGCCGTGGCCTGTGAGCAAGTCAGAACCAGTATCGGGAATCACATCGGCGCGTCCTCAGTCGATCCTTGCTCCAGGTGGAGCCTCTGCTGCCTCGTCCATATCGTCGATGCAGCAGCAACCACACTCTGTCATCCCTTCAAACCTTCAAAATCCGCCTCAACAACAGAATGGAGCCCGAGCGGGCGCACCGCCCAATGATGGGAACCCCGTATTATACCTTTTGTCGATGAATGGGACGTTTGAACGCAAAACTATCACTGTTCCGTATTACCCAGATAATCTACGTATTGGGCGACAGACAAATGCGAAGTCGTCACCGACCGCCACCAATGGATTCTTTGACTCCAAGGTCCTATCAAGGCAGCATGCAGAGATTTGGGCGGATAGAAACGGCAAGGTCTGGATTCGTGATATCAGGTCTTCGAACGGGACGTTTGTCAATGGTGCACGGCTATCACCCGAGAACCGAGACTCAGAACCCCATGAGCTTCAGACTCAAGATCATCTAGAGCTGGGAATTGATATAGTCAGCGAAGATCAGAAGACGGTAGTCCATCACAAGGTTGCGGCAAAGGTTGAGCACGCTGGCTTTCTGGGCGCTACAAATAATGTCCTCGATATGAACTTCGGCGATCTCGATCCTGCAAATGGAGTCCTCATGCTTCCCTCGCAGAATGGAATGGTACGAGGCAGAACGAACAGTCAAGGATCGATTATGAACAATGGGCGTGCACCAGGCCCGGGTGTAATGCAAGCCGCACAACGCCCAATGAACTTCTGGTTAACGCCTGTAACGACCGAGCAGATAATGAAAAGACTAACAGTAGGTACGCTCCTAACTGTTATTAGATACAAGCTAATCAATGTTCAGAATGAGGTGAGGCACGCTAAACTACAGAATAACGATCTTTCTCGCACCGAATTGTTCTTGGACACCTTGGTCTCGCAGCAGTTATTTAAAGAGGAAGAAATGCCGGAGGAGCCCATCAAGTCCCACCAACCCAATGGCGTCTCATTCAAGATCGATGCGAAGCCGCGCTTCAGCGACCCGCCTGCACCACCACCCCAGCAGCCGCTGCCAGAGAAGCCGGATGCGCCTCGGGTACAGACATCTGAGACGTCTTTGAAGCGCTCGAATACAGAACGGCCACGATCTGCAACGTCGGCGTCTCCAGTCAAAGAATCCTCAAGCCAAATTATTGCGCTCATAGAATCGCTAGAATCGGCAAAGAGAGAAATTGACGAACAAAGTGAGCGGATGCGTACTCTAGAGAAGATGCTTCAAGAGGAGCGGGAGGCGAGGCAGGCTGCCGAAGAACTGGCGAAGAGGCTTGAAGAAGAATCAACCAGGATACATGTGAATGGGTTTGCCAAGGGCGGCCCAATAGTTGACGAGGCGTTTGAACCACCGAAAGAAGTCACCCCAGAGGTTGTGGGTCTGAAATCTATAGCCGCAGAAGAGGCCAAGTCGAGTACCTTGAACGCTGAAAATGTGGAGGCATCTACGAATACTTTACAGGAGAAGCTGGAACTGATGATGGTTGAAATGAAGGAAATGAAGCTGCAAATGGAGACTTATCGACAGCGTGCAGATACTGCAGAGACAGAAAGAGATGATGGGAGGAAGTCATTGGCAGAGATGGTTCAGAAGATCAGGGCGGATGATCAGGCAAGACGAGAGACGGCTGAACGTGCTAAGGCAGCTCTGTCTGCCTCGAATGCAGCTGCCTCGTTGACTACTGAGGCGGACAAACGGGTAGAAGAACTACCACCGGCGACAAAAGATATTGGCCAAAACGGTACCATATCGACGCCACATGTCACCAAACCTCCCGAGAATCAGCCTGTCACCGCTTTACAACATCACCCCGGCGGCCACGATCAACGGCTACTCGAACACTCAGCTCCTTACGCGTCCATGATCGGGGTCGTTCTTCTCGGCATGGGATTGATGGCATACATGAACGGGTGGCAGAAAGGCGAGCGATGATTTCCAAGTATTTTGAGCCAACAATTCACGTAATCCAGCCGGCGTCAAGCATTCATTAGCACGGCGATCTTTCCTTTGTCTCGGTTGCTTTAAAGCATGCACGCGTGCATTGCAGGTTCGGCGTTTTAGGGGACGGGCCGAGCACGGTCCGGCGCGTGCCGGGGGGGGGGGTTCTCTCTTTAATAGGTTTGTGAATATACTGGGAGTGGATATAACATTAGGGCCTACCTTGTCGGCGTATTTGAGGAGGGTTCGATACCCTGTTGTCGGGGGGCGCGACGTCGATAATTGTGTTTTTTTTTTGGGAAGCCTTGTGCTGAACTTTCGCTATACTGCGGCTGGGTCCTTTGGATGGGTGGCAAGGCGGCGTTTGTAGCATGTGGAATTTGATTGCGATCCAAGATCTTAATGACTTCATTCGAAAGAACTGTGACTGACCCTGACCTGACCCACTGTTGTTAGCTAATGTTGTGCGTCCAGACGCAAGACATGTGGCAGCGGGCCGGAGCCCGCTGCGCGTCAGCTCCAAGGGGAGACAACAACTCCATGGGGCAACAGTGTCTCCAAGCAACTTCCAGAGCTAGACTACGCGGTTTGATTGATACAATTGACTAAGCGTAAGATAGACCACGGTAATTTCTTGAAACAATGCTTGTTCTGTAGCAGTCCCGCCGCCCGCGCGAAGGATCGCGCTGGGTTATCATGAGGGGTGTCTAACAGGGCACTTTGGCCGCCCCCGTCAGTGCACACATTGATTATTGAAAATGTTCCACCCGTGTGTATGGCACACGTACATTTTTATTCCCTGCTGCGCGTGTGTTCCTGACGACAGACGACATGGCTGACCATCGCGTTAAGGCGTCGACTTATCGCGTCGAGAATATCCCGCCGGGAACGTCGAAGGAGGAGCTTCTGGAGCGGTATTTTTACAGAGAGGATAGGGAGGATATTAAAGTCAAGTCGCTCTGCCCCTCGTGCGACAGCGTGGATCCGGATGAGGACGACTGGACGGCGACGATTTTCTATCGACCCCGTGATGCGGACAGAGGCGAACTGCGCCTGGCGAACGATGATACATTGACGCTCTCCAAGGAATTCTTCGGCTTCACTCCTCTCTATGTTCCTCCGAAAGAGAAAGGGCCTGTTGCGGCAGAGTGAGTTTTTGTTGCGTTCCGCGTCAGCCGAGGGCCCCGAAGGCTGTCGCCGTGTGCTGACAGCCCTATTAGTATCATCGCCGTTACAGGCCTCGGTGACCATGCTTTTGGGTCATGGAGCCATTCCGACGAGCGCATGTGGCTCCGTGACTATCTTCCGAAAGACGCGCCAAATGCACGAATCTTGACTTATGGATACAAATCTGCACTGCAGGGCGACTCTATCAGTCTGCTCGAAGATCACACCAATAAATTTGTCCATAAGCTTGTTGATATGAGAGATGCGTCTGAGGTTAGTAAATTAAACCATGCGCTGCGCCTTGGAATTTATATTAACGTATAATTGCAGTGCGAAAGCAGGTATGCGATGGCCAGAGCACAGCGAAATGGATGATAAAATTCTAATTTCGAAAGGCCTATAATATTTGTTGGGCATAGTTTAGGGTGTCTAATTATCAAGAAGGTATGTGTTAAGCTCTACGCCTTCCCATTTATTTATCACGTACGTACTGACTGGAAATAGGCACTTACTGGCATTGGTCCAATGGGCATGTAAGTTCAACACCCGCTTTCAGCACACAGTGCTGTGATAGATATGTATTGACAGGTTCCAGTCCAACGTCCCGCCTACCAGTTCGCGCCGTTATATTCTTAGCTGCACCCCACAGAGGACTCAACATCGATGCACTGCAAACACTACTAATGGGCCAGGCGACTGAGGCCATGATAAATGAGCTCAGAGCCGACTCGCCAATACTGAGGGACCTCACCAGTAGATTCCGTGACATTGTGGAAGATAACGTCGACCTCTTGACATGCTACGAGCAAAGACCTACAAAGACTGTGGTTAAGGTATGCCGCAGAGGACTTAGTAGGGTCTCGCAAGCTGACCTAGCTACAGGGTGCGGACGGCATATGGAGACGAGAAGGCCCTCCTGTGATAATGGTTGGGTCAATTTCGGCACGACTCGATTATAGGAAAGAGAAGTGCGTCTCTGTTGACTGTGACCACTCGCAAATTGCCAAGCTCAAGAAGGGAGAGGGTGGCATATACCCTACTGTCAAATCTGCTATCAAGCATGGTCTCATAAGCACCGCTAGGATAGTAGCGGGGAAAGATGTAAGTCTTGAATACCCCCGTGGTGGCAAGGTAAGCTATCTACTATATCTTTTTCTATGAAGTGAGAGAAAAGAACTGATCCCAACCCAGGAGTTGACAAACGGCGGCTCTGGATCTATGACTGGTTATATACATGCTGTTCCTCCTCCATACTTCCAAGACAAAATCGCCACCAGCCATGCGACGTATATACCGCAACAACCGCAGCAACCGCCTCCAGCCCTTGCCCCTCATCCAGATCGCCATATGGCCGTAGAACGTGCGACCACCCCGACATACGGGAACGCCAGTCACTACATTCGACCAAAGGTCCAAGCATCACCTCCTGCCCATGATCGTGGAAATAGCCATGCAATCGAGAGCCGTTGTCTATCTGAGGCACATGGCAAGGCAGATGAGATTGTCAACGTAGTGCCTGATATTTCAACCCTGACAATTTCAGAGCCACCTGAGGCCCCAGTCTTCCTGGACAAATCTGAAGTCACTGTGGAGGAGGATATGGATGACGTGTACGAGGTTGACCCTGACAACATCCTTACCACAGCAATATGCAGCCGGTGCGATGAGGGTGTACCGGACTCGACATTTCACTATTATTGTTACATGGCGATCAATAACCAATACGGAGAAGATGACGATAAAGACAGGGTAGAAGAGCACAAGAACACTACCGTGTGTCAGTCCTGCGCTTATCTTGATCCGAATTGTGAGATACGCAAGGAAATACTTGTCAAACGAGGCGTAAAGCCCCACAAAGCCCTCGAGCCATTTCTGCCATACATCGAGACCGAAATACTGAGGTCAGACAACAGCCTCATTCGCGCGGTGAAGGAAAACGATTTAGACAAGATCGGACGTCTATCAAACAACCCTAAACTTCTCAGTGGAAAGGCCTACGGAGGCTGCACTCCTCTCGTCCTGGCGGTCCAGCTAGGGCTAGTTGATGCTGTCAAGATTATGCTCGACAATGGAGCTTCGCCGGCCGAGAGGGACTCCACTGGCCTCACGCCACTTTTCATGGCAGTCCAGTATAATCGGTACAAAGTGGCTAAACTGCTTCTTGATGCTGGTGCAGACGTTGAGGACACTGGGGGACAATCATCTGCATTGCACCTGGCGGCGTCAAATGGAAGACCAAGGATGTTACAGCTCCTCCTAAACAGACAAGCCCCCGTCGACGTTTCGTTCCCAGGCTTCGGCACACCCCTCAGCCAAGCCGCTCAATTAGGGAGCAACGAGTGCGTGAAGATTCTCCTCGCTGCAGGTGCTGATCCAAATGCAATGGCCAAGAGCGGCGCTACACCCCTGAAATGGGCAGCTCTCAAAGGCTACGGCGACGTTGTAAAGACGCTGCTTAGGAACAAGGCTATTGCCTCTCACATTGGAACGGATGGTGAAACGCCAATATACTGTGCTGTGGACGGTGGACACGGGGATATATGCGGGGACTTGATTGATGCTGGTGCAGACTTCATATCGGAAGTCGCACGTCCAGTAATGACACCTCTTGGCCACGCTGCTCGTCTCGGTCGCCGGAATATAGTAAAAGTATTACTAGCCCGTGGGGCTCCAGTCGATGGCATAAGTGACGAGAACACCCCCTTGGGCTCTGCAGCAGTAGAGGGACACCTCGATGTCTGTCGGGATCTTATTGAAGCCGGCGCAAATCTCAATGCCACATACGGACCTTTATCAACGAGCCCCGTCGGTTTTGCGGCAAAATTCGGATATGAGGAGATTGCCGAGCTCCTGCTGAGCCGTGGTGCGAGGGTCGACATCAACGACAGCAGCGGACACCCCCCTATCTACGTCGCAGTCGTCACGGAGCATGTGAAGGTCTGCCAACTCCTTCTCGCATTCGGCGCAGATGCGAGGTTCAAGACCGTAGACACAGAGAGGACTGTGCTGGCCATTACAACTATAGATGGAAACCTCTCCATGGTCAAGCTTCTGATAGAATACCACGCTGATCTTGACGATGCTGACACATACGGATGGACCCCTATAGGCCATGCAGCATTCAAGGGCTTCATTGACATCTGCCGAGTTCTCATCGACGCCGGCGCTAACCTCGATCTCCTCGTGTCCGGGAAGACGGCGCTGACAGAAGCTGCTCGCGCTGGCCACAGCGAGATTGTGGAGATGCTGTTAGCGGGAGGTGCGTGGGTCATGCCGCCTCCGGCGTATAAGGGGAAATGGAAGAATTTGGAATTCAAGAGCGGGGTGACGCCTTGGAAGAGGGAGGAGATACTGCGGACTCTTCGGGCTGCGAAGCATATGTAGTGCTGTGCGGGGGGTGATGGCCAATTAGAGAGTTTTTTGTTATGAGGGAAATTTGATTCGTTATTTGTAGCATTAGTTCTCAGATTGCATGCAAATAATGTGCCGTCTCCACAGAGAAACGAAAGCATGCCACTAAACCGCATCGTGAATAGAGCAAATACCTCGCTCACGTTAATTGTGGTGTGCAAATAACCCCAGTTCTCAACCTTGATTCCTCTACTCATCTCGTGGGTCACCTTCGGCCATGGGGAACGGCGGCCCGACCCAGTGGTCTGGATCATCACAATTGGGCTTCGCATATACGATCCCATCCTCTTTGACGAAGCAACCGACGCGCTTTTCAACCGCAGCTTCGACGTCAGGCTCCACGGACTCACAGCCACCGCGCTTCTCAACTATAACCCCGTTCTCAACGGTGAAGCACCCACCACGCTTCTTGAGATTAACGTCAACAGCAGCCTTAACACCGCCGTCAATATCAATGCCATTCTCTGCCATGCCGCAGGCACTGCTAACCATGGCTCCGTTTTCAATAGTGTAGCAAGCGCGCTTTCTGAGGTGAGTAATCGACCTCAGCCTCTCCATCATTGCGGCATCAGGGATAACCGGTCCAGATGGGCCGTCGTCGCTGAGGCGAGCATACTCGTTCATAAGCTGATCCCGTTCATTCAAAATGTAAGATTCTGGCTTTGATTCCCTGAGCTTTTCCAGGGCATCGGCTTCAATAGTAGAACGCTGGGGGTGGCGGCTCGTGAGGTAATTCGTGAAAGGGATGGATTCGGGGATATTGACAGGTGCTTCGATATTTGGATTGGTGGAATATTTGTCGATTACACCATCATCGCCCCTGTGAGGGGCTGGGTCGGCACTTGCTTCACGGCCTCCGTATCGGTGGCCTTTATTGGCACAAGGGTCTGGTCTATTACCGAGTTGAACATTGAGGCAATCGGTATCCATAACGCACGTCTATTTGAATATTAGACCATGCTCGCGAGATCAAGAGGGAAAATAGCATTGAAGGATAAATGGACGGGTTAACTTACAGGATCAGTACGTCCACCGAATGCTTGGCCTGGGCAGGAGCAAATTCCACAGTGAGACCAGTCTGGGTCAAAAATATTGATACCTAAGCAGGAACCTTTTTTGAAGCATTGGCCAGAAAGACCACATTTGCCGAGAACGCAAGACGATTTAGAGGCAAGGGAATTGGGTGTGTCTGCGATCAAAATGGGGCTCGCTAGGACGGATGCCAGGATGGAGAATAGAGCGAGGGTATTTGTGATCAGGGCTCCGCTCGAGGTGTTGTCCATGGTGTTGAACTTCATGATAAATCGATTGATTGGTGTTTGATTGGTCAATGATTTGAAGAATTGGATAAGGATGGTATTGTTGAAGATGTAAAATAATCAACAACATCCAGCGGGATTGACCTGACGTGTAGTCTTACTTTGAAGTGTAGTATTGGCTTGACCCTTCGGTGGGTGTCAAAGATAATGTTGTTGTTTTTTGGAGGCAACAATCTCGGGGGAAGACGGTGGAATTTATAGGTAGACCTTCAGGCTTTGTTCTGTGCCTTCGTCGTCCCAGACCCCGTTGAGGCCGAAGCGATTGAATGACACTGTGCTATGCTATGTAAAGAGAGTGATTGGAAAGGTTTCATGCCCGGTCGAAGTTGTCGTGGTATGCATACAGTATGTGCCATGCATGACTTCCATAGACGCAAGGTCTATCGGGATATCAACGGGCTTAACGTTTCCCTGAAAGACACAATGCAAATAGAGCGGCCATCCCAAAGCAAGGGGTTTCATAGGTAACGACTTGATTTGGAGAAGATATTCTTCCATACCCTGGGCAAACTCCCAGTGCCCCGCCAACAAGCCCCGCCGACGTCCCCAGAATGATCATCACAGACCGCCACCTCCAATCCGCCACAGGCTACGCCCTCAGCCGCGGAAACGGCCGATAGTACACTGCACTGCTATCAAGGGCAGTTTCTACTCCTCCGGAATTTACGGCTAATGATTGGGACAGGGGAAATGGACTCTATAGCGGCGCACGTATTAGTGGAGGCCGACCTGCGCTCGGTCAACCATTTGATGGGAGGCCATCACAGGATCCATGGTTTCTCAACAAGTCGGCAGTCGCCAACATTGAATGCAAGGAGATCACATTTCCCTTCAATATAAAGGGTTAATATTTTGAAATCATATGCCGAATCTCAGTGGAATGAATAATATGAAGCCGAGCTGGAACGTATATTTTTTAAAGTATAAAGGTTAGGGCAGACTGTGTTTAAGAAATCTGGGCACACACTCTACCACATAAGATTCATAAACAAACAATAACCCGGCTTTGATTTGTTACGAAAGTCTTAATCCCTCACGAAGCATCTTGGAAGGCAACAAGGAGCGGGCTCTCGCTGGCCTCGAGGGTTTCTCCGTCTCACCTCCTAGGAGATAACAATGAACTCTGTCTCAGCTTCAAAGATATAACAATGCACAGCATATTTTGCAATTGGCTGGTGTTGGCAAGAGTTGTTCTATTCAAGACTCTCTCGCAGCCCCCTTGCTTCCTGTGCAGCCGGCCGTGGTAACGGCACTTCTGTCAAATCCTAGATCTTGTAGCGCCACTGATAGTAAAGGCATGCTGAATGCCGTCATAAATCCAAATACAGTGTAGTTTATCTCAACTTTGAAATTTGGGGTATTTATTTCGACGTTGTGGCCATCACAGTGCTTAAAACGTTGGGGTACAGGTCCCTCAGCATCAGGGATGGATCGAGGAGTGTAGATCATTGTAAATATTATAGATCCACTGAGAGATTAACATACCTGCTGCCTCCTGTACCTTACTCCTGTTGTTTTTGACATGTTCGAATCGATCGAGAAACCGATCTCTGGTGGAGCCGCGACGCCGCAGCACAACTAACCGTAATAGGCAATATCAAACGTCAAGTGCAAGTGCGACTTGACATTATGGACGAATGCAGCCACATCCAAAATAAACGGGGCCTTCTATCAAAGAAGACATATCACAAACCTGGAACCCTGCAGCCAAACTACAAAGAATGAAACACAAGAATGCCAACCCCAAGAAGAACACCGCTAAAAGCCCGCCATCCGAACCCCCACCAAACTGGCCCCCATTCAAACCCCTCCTCCCCGCGTCCGACCTCTCCCTAGAACCCATCGTGGACTCGCAAATCATTGTCACCCGCAACTTCTGGACCTCGACGTTGTGTAAAGATTACGTCTCCTTCCTCAGATCCCTGCCTCTGGTCACGACGCCAGGGAAGCCGAAAAAGGGCGATGCTGTGCGCGTCAACGATCGCTTCCAGATCACAGACCCTGCGTTCGCCAACAGATTATGGCTGGAGACCGGCCTACGAGAGCTTGTGAATGGGAGGACAGACGAGGAGGAGGAGGAGTCTATGAGTAACGAGGAGAGGAGAAGACTATGGTATGTTCCACACGTGACGTGACACTGGACAGAGATATGCAAATGTGCTTCTACTAACGAACACAGGGGCGGCGAAGTCGTAGGACTGAACCCCTCAGTCCGGATCTACCGTTACACCCCAGGCCAATTTTTCGACCAGCATTGTACGACCCCCTCCCCTCCCCCTGTCACCTCTCCCTAACCCTCCTCCCTAGACGACGAATCGAATATCATCAACCTCCCCACCACCCCTACCACCCCCGCAAAGACAACCTGGACCCTCCTCCTCTACCTTACTTCCCCCGCCACAGGTTGTGAGGGCGGCCAAACGGTCTTCTACCCCGACGACCTGCCGTCCAAGAACTCGCCGATCCAGAAGGAGGTCGTGGTCGAGCTGGAGACGGGCATGTTGCTGCTGCATAAGCACGGGAATGAGTGCATGCTGCATGAGGGGCGTGAGGTGACGGCGGGCGAGAAATGGGTCATTCGGACGGATCTGTGCGTTCGGAGGTAGGGTCGGTGAGTGTGACGGCACGGAAGGTTAGATGGGCTCGGAAAAGATGGTTGTGGGCGGTTATTTGATGTTTTACGGTAAGACGAATAAGACGAATTTATAAATTATTTATGGAGGTGAAGAATCAAGAGGACTAGATAAGCAGTTGAGTCTTAATAGCTTTGTGGTAGGTTAAGTTCGAGTAATGCCTTCTTCACGTGGGTTTCTAGGTAATAAGTTACCAAAGTTCTGGGAATCCACCCACACACAAAACCCACAACTATCCCATCCCACCTCTCCCCCAACACCAAGCCAAGGCCACCCTTATAACCCAACTTTAGCCATCTATAAATCAAGCGGCACAGTGGCGCAGTGGAAGTACCACTGTCTGGACAATCTGGCCAGGGCTTGGAATGAATAAAGAGGTCATCAATTCGATTCCCAGCAAACAAACGACAAAAAAGTAAAATAAACGCTCATCATCAACATCAATATCAATATCAGCATCAATATCATTATCCACATAACACAAAAAGTAAAATCAAGTGATTTTCTCCTCATCAGATCTTAAAAAGAGATTTGATGAGTCTTTTGCCATTTCTTTTGTTTGATACCCCTAATGATAGGTGATGGCCCAAGTAGAAAGATAGAAAAGAAGGTCCATTACTCTAGATGCACACAATCAATGCAACCAGCATCACTCTATGAACACCCCCAAGCCAAGCGCCAAACCCTCCCACCCCCCAAACGCCACCCAGAGCACATACCCAAGCCCGCTCAACTCATCTGCTCAAACCTCTCCTTGGCCTTATCCTTCGCCCGACTCACAAAATCCGCATACGACCCCCCCGTCGCCCGATTCGCCTCCTCAACCGCATCCCCCACCTTCCCCCCCTGCGCCCCCAACCCCACACCCTGCGCATAAAGGTGCGTCTCAATCGCCTCCGTCCTTCCCGTCCCCTGCGCCCCCAACCCCTCCCCAGCCGTCCACCCCATCTTGCCCAACAGCGCCGCGCCCTTCGATTGCACTGGTTTCGACGGCTCCTTGGCTACGGGTGCAGCGGTGTCCTTGCCCTTTTTATGCTGTGATGAGGGCTGTTTGGGTTGGTTGAAGGTCTTGCGGCGTTCTTGGGCGCGGTCGCGGTAGGCGGCGCTGTCGGGGTCGTTGAGCTTCCCCAGTTTCGCCAGGGCTTTCTCGACTAAATCCTCTTTGAGCATGTTATCGCGATGTAGCTGGCTTAGGCGCTCGTGCTTGTTCACTTCGGCGTCGGTCTTGAATTGGCGAGAGCAGAGGAGACAGCACTTTCGGACTGGGTCGGCGAAGGTTTGGGTGGGTGGCGCATCGGCGTCGTTCGGTTGGGCTTCCTTGGCACTGCTATCTCCGGGCTCTGCGGCACTGTTTGCAGGTAGCCCATGTAATTCTGCGTGCTGGTTTGACCAGAACTTCAGATGAGGCGCGATGATTTTTTTCGTAGCCGCAGTGTCTTCCTTTCCGGCTTTCCGCTTCTTTGATGCTCCGCCCTTTGCCGCATCAAGTAGGCCCTCACCAGCAGCTGCTGCCGCCAGCTTCGCGTTGGGATTCTCCTTCGACCTCGTATCCGCAGAAGCCTCACGCGCCACGGTCATCTCACTGGCAAACGCGCCCTCATCCCAGTACATGAGTTTCACCGCTGGGTTAGACAACGGACTGAAGGTAAACTTCTCAAACTTTGCGCTCAGGGCCTGTAGTACCGGCACAAAGACGCCGGCATGAATATATGAAGCCAGTACGGGCTTCGAGGAGATTGTGAACTTATCCGACGAATTATACTTCGCCATTGCGGCCTGCGCATCGTCCACGGAGCCAAATTCAGCAAACCCGTATCGCCAGCTCTCGTTTGTCTTTCGGTCTCGCACAAGGAATACCCTCATCAAAGAGCCTTCCTTCGCGCCAAGATTTGCATCGGTGGACGTAGACATCATCTTGGGTTTCTTGTTTGCTTGCGTTTCCGGCGGGGTAGTCGACCCCTTGACGCGGTACAACTTGGTCATAGCTTTGGCGAGTAACTCCTCAGTGACGCCTGGCTCGAGATTTCTAAATAGTAGGAACTGGGAGGCTTGATTATCTGGGGACACATCGCTGTCTCCCGTAGTGGTGACACCCGAAAATGCAGATACGTTGGCCTGGGTGGCTACTCCAACTATACCAGTTGCGCTCGGTCCTAATACGGTCAGCTAGATCAAACATACAGCATGTATATACCTACTCATCCGAGGAGCATGGCACCTGAAACAAAGAGTTCTTTGCTGGTAATTCGCCAAGCCGCACTGGAAGGAGTCAGCATTTTATTCTCGGTGACGGGCCGGTTTGGCCTACATTTTCGCACATCCAGTCCCCCTCGCCCTTTCCAGGCCGGTCTCTATCTTCCTTCTCTCGACTATACGCCAATCTAGCCTGTGCATACTCCTCGCTAGTCTGAGGCATACCGTACGACCCTCGGAACTGTATCGACGGGTAGTACATCTCCAGGAAAACCTTGGAATCTCTCAGCGTGGCGAATTTCGCAAACGCAAACTGCCGCGATTGACCTGTACCACATTATCAGACAAACGTCTCCCCCCCGAAATGTTGCTATACACGCACCAGTCCGTTTATCCCTAATCAGGCGCACCTGCTCCAGGCCATCCGCAGTAAAGCTCGTCTTCAGTTCATGGGCAATCTGTAAAAATCCGCAAAAGGCCAAGAAGGCCATTCCCTATGCTTAGCCAGCGTCCCAGTCCAATCGCTCATGAACACTTAGGGTGGTGATAATTTGCGGGCATGCATCATGCTGCCACAAACACGGAAGAAGGGGGATGAGGGGTGCCAACGTCTTCCTGTGTCATCTCCACCGGCAGCCCATCCATGATGAGCGTCCGGCTCGGCGGCCCCCCATACGGCTCGCGGCTCCTGCTCCTGCTGTATTCGCGTCGCGGCGACCGGTAGCCCTCGTGGTCGCGGTCGGTGTAGCGTCCTCGGCCCTCTCGGCGGGGTGATCGCGGCGCCTCTGGTCGGCGCTCGTATGGGGCGTCGCCTGTTGGGGTGCGGTGCGTCGTCGTTGTCGTCGACCTTGCGTAATCTTTCAAAACTCCATTATCAGCAGTGCTTCGTGGTAGTAGTCCCGCAATAAACCATCGTTACCGTGCGGCGCTTCCGGGCTGTGATCGTAACGGTAGCTGTAGCCCTGTTGGTGGGCTGAGTCGGGTTGGTCGTCGTACATGTCCGGCCTGTCGTAGGGGGCCCTGTGGCCGTGAGGACGGCTCATGTTGGTATATGGATAGCAAGCAATATATAAGATTGTCGTTGCAATAGAGATGTGAATTACTGGTGAGCGCGTTTAACTGCTTCTAATCGGAGGTTGACCAGAAGTGCCAAAGGTGCCCCGTCTGTGTTTGACAACCACGCAAACACCAACCAACGGCAATGGCCGTTGAACTGCCTGGAAGTACAAAGCCGCCTTTACTTTATTGACATCGCCGTTGACAAGCCACTTTCTATACTACTGTACCCATCTCTCTCCCATCTTATAATATCGCAAATATGCCGGTCCCCGCAGGAGCAAACATGTGCGGGCAATCGACCTTTGACAAGCGTAGGTCTTAACAGCTCCACCAGACCACCCAGATGCTAACGTTCAAACAGTGAAGATGGGCGCAATGATGGGCGGCAGTGCGTGTACAACACCCCATACCGCGTACGGCGAACTAACAGGTGCATAGCTGTGGGCGTCATCATCGGCTTCATCTTCGGTGGGTCTCTTCCCCCCCGCGGCTCTACAATTGCAGAATCTGACCAGCAACAGGAAGCGTCAACATTATGCGATACGGAGCTGGGCCAAACGGCGTGATGAGGTCTCTGGGGCAATACATGGCTGGATCTGGGGCAACATTTGGGTTCGTCTGAGCGTTATGCGCAGAGGGCGATTGTTTACTGATTCCCTCATTTAGGTTCTTCATGGGTATCGGTAGCACCATTCGCCAAGACGCCTCTCCCATCATGGCCGAGGCATACCTCAATGCACGAAGGCGCGCGATGATCATGCCACGACCGCGCCCAACCGCGAATTAAATGGAGGGGAGGTGTATATGAGGAAAGAGGAGGGGGAGGCTGTAACGATTAGTGTACAAAGACTGTGATATTAGCCGGTGTCTTCTCAAGACTCTGGGGATATCGAAAATATATCAAAAGTCTGGGCCAACCATGGAAGGGAGGAGAGGAAGGACATGCAGCTCCAGAGTATGCTGCGATGGGTTGTTATAAAAATCATAAATAAACTTCAAATACAGCACATGTTCACCTCCTTCATTGAGCTCCAGACAAACTTGCTTGATACATGAAAGCCAGCCAGCCTACTATAGCAGCTCGGGTATAAAGCCAACAACTTGCATGCCAACACATACGCCGAACCATCACCGGCCTATTTCCGATGTACAACCGGTCCATGCCCTTTCTCGAGCGGCGGGCCGGGTCGCCTGGTGTCTTCCTCTGACGGAAGGGGGTCGGATTTTATGATTACCGGCGACGGTGCAGCTGCTTCTGATTCCACAGCTTCCTCCGCCACCTTCTCCCCCCCAACTTTCTCCTCCACACCCTCATCCACCTTCTCCCCCAAAACCCCATCCCTATTAGCCCTCCACACCCCCCCCCCTCAAACCTCTCCATCTTCCACACCTCCACCTCCTTCTTACACCTCTCCAACGCCTCCTCCCCCCCCCTCCAGGCCCCCCCCCTATGCTTCGTCCCCAGCGCAACCAGGATACTCTCCTCGCCCACCCCCACCTCTCCCAGTCGATGCGCAATCGCCACTCCCGACGCCCCATACTTGGCCTGTATGTCCGTGCAGATCCGCAGCATGGACCGCAGCGCGAGTGGCGCGTAGGCGGAGTAGGAGAGCCCCGTGACGGTTTCGGAGCCGAAGGTCGAGCGCGTGGTGCCGGAGAAGAGGACGTTGGCGCCGGAGTGGGGGGAGCGGACTAGGGAGAGGATGTGCGTGGCGGAAAGGGCGTTGGAGGTTAGGGTTGCGTGGCAGGTGGGGGTTGAGAGGGTGGTGGTTAAGGGGTCGGGGTGGGTGAGTATTGGCTGGGGGGAGGGAGTGGTGGAGGAGGGGTTGGCGGGGTTGCTTGAGGTGGTGGATGTTGCCGGTTGGGGGGGGGGTGAGGTGGTCGTGGGCGGGTTTGAGGGTGAGGTGGCAGAGGGGCCGTCGATTGGGGCGTTAGAGGTCATGGTGGGCGTTCGTTATGGTGCTGAGGCGCATATGGTGGTGGTGAGGGGTTGTCGATATGTCGAGGTGAGGCGGGTTGGTTGGTTTATGAGCGGAGGCGTCTGGCGCCGACAATCTATTGATGAAGCCCGCAGTTTTTACAAATTCCAATTCATGTTGACCACCCGTACCTAGCCACAACAACGAGTCCGCCGTAAAACCAACGAAACGAAATCCGGAGCGAGGTCATAAATATTTAGAGTAACAATTGTCCCCGGAATTCGAAATCCCCGACTACCACCGCCGTCATCCCGCGCGGGTGAAGTTTAAGCCGCAGCCGACCTTCCTGACGCTGATAAATCGGGATGATAGGATATAGGGAGTCAAGGACTCAGGTCAGGATCAGGAAAGCCGTTTTCGCAACACAGGAGGAAATCCGACGAAGTCTCACATACGATGAATAGATGGTGGTAGTGTATACAATACATAGATCCAGCTCCCTTGCCAGCCAAAAAAATACACTATATACAAGCCCCAAGCTCAGCTCAAGACCCCCCTAGTTATCCCCCTTTATCTCACCCCTTTACTCCATTAACCTCCTCCCCACCCCCCTTTATCTCACCCCTTTACTCTATTAACCTCCTCCCCATCTCCCTTTATCTCACCCCTTTACTCCATTAACCTCCTCCCTATCTCCCTTTATCTCACCCCTTTACTCTATTAACCTCCTCCCCATCTCCCTTTATCTCACCCCTTTACTCCATTAACCTCCTCCCAATCCCCCTTTATTTCACCCTTTACTCCATTAACCTCCTCCCCATCCCCCTTTATCTCACCCCTTTACTCCATTAACCTCCTCCCCATCCCCCTTTATCTCACCCCTTTACTCCGTTAATCCCCATCCCCCTCAATCCTTCTTCGCCTTACCCCCACCCCCCACCACCCCCTCCCCCGCATCAACCTTCCGCCCAAGAAAATCAACGCTCACCCCATTCCCCACCGTCACGTTCCCCATCCCTGTATACACATTCCCCACCAAAAACAACGTGATTTTCGTTTGTGCAACAGCTGCAGCGTCGAGAGAGAGGGTTTGGAGGATGTAGAGGACGGCGGTGCGGGAGAAGTCGAGGGTTGATCCTGTTACGGTGAAGTTCGCCGCCGCTGCTGCTTTTGCTGCGGAGGCGGATGAGGAAGAGGAGGTGGGAGTAGAAGTTGGGGGGGTAGATGAGGAGGCGTGTATTCCCGTAGGTTCCGCCACATTAGGTAAGGGACTCTCCATCCTTGGCGCCAACCGCGCATCAGCTTCTTCCGCGCGCCTCTTCGCACCCGACCCCTTCACAATACTCGTTGGACCCGTCTCCACCGCCGTCGCCGTGGGCGTCTTACTCGACGTCCCCCCCGCGACGGCACTCTCGCTCACAGCCCCAGGATTAAACGAAACAATCGCGTTCTGCGCATCACAGCTTAGACCCGCATCACTAAAGCGCGAGACTACCTTCGCGAAGTCGAGGGGGATGTTGTAACCGGCCACCGCGTTTTTGATGAGCGCAGGGATGGCGGCGCCGATTGTTACATCTGTGTATGTCTTCGCGTCTGCGGGGGAGGTAGCGGTGGAGGTGAAATTCACCGTCGTACACCCAACAGCCGATTTATCACCGCAGTTCGTGCCAGTGAAACTGTTAACGCAGATACAACTACACACACCCCCATTAATAATGCTCTGCCCGCCATTATTACACTTACTATCCTTCTCGCACACCTCCAGCGCCGAGAGATTCTTATTCGCATCGCCTTTCTTGTTCGGCACCAGCAATTCCAGGGGTATCACGATAGCGGCGGTGATCACGAGAAGAAGGGCGATGAGAAGGATCAGGAACCAACAGATCGGCATTCCGCAGCAGCGCCGTCCGTTGCGGGTGCGGAGGTCGGCGAGGGAGGACTCGTAGGCAGGCCAGCGGGACCTGGATTTTGGGGTTTCGACGGGGGTTGCTAGGCCTGGAGGGGGGAAGGCGGCGAGCATGCCTGAGATTCCGGAGGGGGTGTTGCGATGGCGACCTGTTGAAGTTAGTATTTGCACAAAGGTAATGTAATAGAAGTAACAAAAAAAAACAAACCATTCCCAGCCCTCCCCTTCTCTCCCCCAGGGGGAGGAAAATCATTAAGATCATTCAGCCTACTCGCCGGCCGTTTCCCCTCATTCATCATCGACGCCAACCGTGTAGCTCGCCGAATCAGATCAGGGAGACTCGTTAGACTCCCCCTCGCCTCGGCGTCGCGCACCGTATCCATGTTCAGGCGCGAGGGGAGACGGATCGCGGAGTTGCGGCTATATTGGATTTCCCTCTCGCCGCCGCCCATGTCAAATGGACTTCCCGACGGACTTCGCGAATTCATCATCACTGCTGCGGGGACGGCTGCGATGGGCGCCAGTTTCTCCATCTCGATCGCGGTGGGTGAAGAGGTGAGCGTTGAGTCGGAATCAGATGACGACAACAGATCACCTAATTCCTTATTCCCCTCTGTGGGCGAATCCAGTCCAAAAGTAGGCCACGTCGTATCCCTCTGCATCGCCATCGGCACCATCATCATCCCCCCCTGCGCATCATCCGCCCGTTTCGGCATCCCCTTCCTCTCCGCCCCCCCAACCACCCGCAAATGCCTCGTCTTCTCCAACACCCCTCCCCTCGACTGCAGCGGCGTCTTCACCTGCTGATCCTTCCTCAGGATGATCGGCGGTTTCGCCCTCTTCCCCACGCTCGCGCTGCGGACGCCCTCGCTCGACTCAGCGCCCTCATCCATCATCATCTCCTTATCGAAGAGCGCCTGCTGGTCCGTCTCGTAGCCGTACCCCATCGCGCCCCAGTTGGAGGGGATGGCGGTGCTGGAGGCGTAGGAGCCGTGTGCGGCGGTGGGGGCTTTGGGAATTTCTTCGGGGATGGGGACGAAGGGTTGCATTGAGTAGTAGGAGGATGGGCCGCGGCGGGATGAGGGTGGGGGTCCGAGTCCGGTTGTGCTGTAGTTCGCGCCGGTTACCGGGACGGGGAAGTCGGGGATTGTGCCGATGGAGGAGTTTGTCGAGGCTCTTGATTGCATGGTCATTGGAGTCACTGGAGACAAAACATCCGGCGAGCGCATCTCATCTAAATGCTGCTGAGCCTCCCTCGACTGTGATCCAGGCTGTGACGGCCCTGGTTTAGGTTGATACGGAAACGACGGCGTATGATCCTGCAGCTTCGAGGCATCGAGAATCGACGGGACATGACTAGGACGAGGCGGCCTCTGAGGAGCCTTACCCCGCCCCGACGGAGGTTGGTATTGCTGCGCGTTATCATTCATCTGCGGCCTCCCCGTTTGCGACGGGAGAGGCCTCTGCGGGGCAGGCGTCGGGCGCGATATCGCAGCTCCTATTCCCTGTCCGGTTCGCGACGCCGTAATGGCTTGTGGTAGAGGTTGCCTCGGGCGGTTCTCGCCGCGCGCCTGTTGTTGGGCTTGGCGCATCCGTGGTGATTCCGAGGTCATCTGTAGACGTTCCCTTTCCACCTGTTCCCTGGCGCGCTTCACGGAGCCGCCGCCGCGACTTATGTCGCTGGGTTTTTGTATGGGCAGCAAATCCATTGCAACCAATGCGGGTGTAATGGTTTATAGTGGGATGTATGTAGAGCGCCTTTGCATCTTCGAAGTCGGTTTAACAGCGAAATGGTGTGCGCGCAATTTGTTGGAATCGGATAGGCGTATGTCCTCTGCCAGAAAGTATATAGGATGTGCAGAATGCCAGCATCCGCAAGGCTGCACTGCACGACTCTGGGACTCCAAAGCGACTGGCGCGAAATCGGGACGAGTCTATCTCGGAAGAAAGAAGAGGTGGGATATTTTCCGAAGTTCGAGTCGAGAAGTGAATGAAAAGTCGGCTTGGTGGGTATATTGGAGAATCGAATAATCGGAACGCAACACACACACAAAAGAGTGAAAGGGCCGGCCAAGCAGCCGATGGAGGGTTGGAAATATAGTAGTGAATCGACGATGGGTTACTTTTATTTTGCTGGTTTGCAGTAATCTTTCGTTGGAGGGTATTTTGGCGTCAAGCCTGTGGGTAGTCGTATGAGTGGTGGTGGTGATGAGAAGGGAAAGGAACGGCAAGGCAAGGCAAGGCAACGAAATGGCCAAGTTGAGGAAGAAAAGAACAGAATCGCAAGATGCGAAGAGCAGCTCGATCAGAGCCAAGAGTCGATCAAGAGTCGATCAAGAGTCGATCAAGAGCCGGAGAAGGGGAGAAGAGAAGGAGGAGGGGGAGGGAGGAGAAGGAAAGTAGAAAGGCGAGTGGAGTGATATGAGTGATATGAGTGATATGAGTCGATACGGAGTACAAGGGCAGCGTATCTCCTCCCGGACCCACGCTTGAACCGTCCAGCGAGGGGACGCGGGTGGGACGCCGGTGGCATTGTTTCTTCTATTTTTTCATTTTTCCATATAGTATTTGCATATTTCCATATTTCCATTTTCCCCCCCAATAACCATCCATCTAAAACACAACCAGCCCTCTCACCCTGCACGAATGGTCCGTGCCCCAGCTTGTTTTGTTTCAGAGCCCTGCACACCACGACAACCCCACACGGTGATCTTTATACCCTCAATCACGCCCATTACAGCTCCTATGCGAATAACTACACCTCAGTCAGTAATGATACGAGCATGTGAGCATACAGCTCAGTATAATACAGCTCAGTAATGTCAAAGCATCCCAATATCACCATCGCCATCACCATCTCCAACCCAACTCGACGCAACCTCAAAAACACCACCACACACCAACCCACCTTCTAGCCCCATGCAGCTCCCCCCTCCCCACACACGCGTTTGACGCTTACACCTCCAGCCCAGACCCCTTTTTTCTCCCATCCCCCATCCCCCATCCCTATCGCGTCTCCTGGTGCAGATATGCAGCGGGAGAGAGATTGCGACGGCGGCGGCGGCGAGGGCGACGATCACGTTATTTTTGGACAAGGTTGGGGGGGTGAGATGATCCACCAGAAGAGGGAGGTGGTGACATATCAGGGGCGTGCCCCGTCCCGATTCCCATCTACATGTATGCCCATATATACTCCGTATGCCTCGTCTCATCTCCGCCCCCCGCCCCCGCCCCCCTTCACCCCTCCCCCTTCACCCCTCCACCTTCCCCGAAGCCACCTTCCGATACTTACTCCACGTCGACTTCTGCACCTCATTCTGCTCATTCACAATCGCCCACAACTCCTCATTCTCCTTGCGTAGCGCCTCATCCGTCTTCACTCCCTTCGGCCCCACCGCCGCCGCGGGAGCCGCCGAGAACTCCAAAATCGCCCTCTCCAGCTCCCCGTCCGCAAACCCAACCTCCTGCACCTCCACCCCCTTCCTCCCCTCCATCTTCCCTAACAACCCTCCCAAAAACTGTCCAACAAACACCCCACTCCCCTCCCCCAACCTTGGCTTCGACACCCCCACCGCCGCCACCCTCTCACCCGCCTTTAGAGGGTCAAGCATCACCAAATTCGTAACCGGCGCATTCACATCCCCCAGCTCCGCCACAAACTTCCCCGCCCCGCTCTCCCAGTGCGCGATCTTGCCCGATGCGTGGCCGGATACGAGAGTCGTACCGTCGTAGCTGACGCCGAGACAGTGGACTTCCCCTAGGTTTGCGGGGGCGCCGGTGAGGGGGGTGGGAGGGACTTGGATAGGCGTAGCTTGTTGCTCTGCATCGTGGAGGGCGTTCGCCGCCGCCTTCGGCACAAATAAATCAACCGCCTGTACATCCCCATTCTCAAACCCTATATAGACCGCGCGATCGCAAGGGTCGAGGGCGAGGCATGTTGGCGTGGCTGGGAGGAGGAATGTCCGTAAAAGTTCCCCCGTCTGGTAGTTCCACACGATAGCCGTATTATCCTTACTCGCCGACACGCAGATATTCGTCCCGCTCGCACCGTGTCCGAGCACTACATCTGTGACTGCCGCGTGGTGGTTCGAGAGTGCGCGCAGTGGCTCATTCGGACCGCTCGTAGCTTGAGAAAGCAGCGCCGGGACTGACCAGACGTAGAGTTTTGAGTCCGCAGACCCAGACACCAAGTGCTCCGCATCCCCACTCAAACACGTAACAGGCTGTAAATGCGACGTCGGCGTCGACACTTGCCTCCCCGTCAACACCTCCCAAAGAATCACTCTCCCCTCCGCCGTCCCCAGCGCCAGCAGTCCATCATGGAGTAGAGCGAGACTATGTATCCTCTCCGGAAACGACACCAGCGCCTCCTGATTCGCGCGCGCGCGCGAGTAGATGTGGACGACGGCCTTGTCGGCCTGCGCGGCGAAGATGTGGGTGCTGCTGACGGCGAGGCAGTGCGGGGAGGTGGAGGATTTCTTGAAGGCGCTGTCGATGGTGTAGGTGGGGTGGAGGGTGTGCGTGTAGATCCCGATGTCTTTGGAGATGGCGGTGTTGGCGGATTTGGGGGCGGCGCGGATGGAGGTGATGAATTTTTCGGAGAGGGACATTGTGAAGGTTGGGGGGTAGGGGGGAGTAGGGGGGGGTAGGGGGGGTAGGGGGGGAGGTGAGAGTGAGGGTGGGCGTCGGCGCTTTGAGAGAAAATAGTGGTGGTGTAGAAGAGCCTGCGTCGTTCTCCCCGGGTCGGATATGGGCAAGGGTCGCAATCGGGGTAATCGAGTGCGCTGGATCTGGAATATGGTATATGTTATCGGCCAGTTACAATCCTTCTCGGACCAAAGAAGGTGGTGTAGAGTGAATGCCCCAATTAAGGAGTTTCTGTACTGAAGAAGTTCTGGGTGCAAGGCTGATAACGATGGGATTTCCAAAATTTAGAATTTAGATAATGTGTTTGCTTCGATGGCAAACTACGACCACCAACCGCCAACCACCAACCACCGACCTCGGACGAATCCGGTGAGTGTTCTCCCTACTTCAACAATGTCTCATCCTCCTCACACAATACATAGTATTGAAGAATGAACTAATGGCCGGAAGCAACAGGTTATTTAAACTCTCTCCCCCTTCCTACGCTTTCAACCTTTATCCCGCCGCTTTGAGATCCCTCTCTCCCCCTGCGCAGCCATCCCATTCTTTGTCCCAACATTCTAGCTTCAAGCAAGGGGTATAATACCCAGTTGATCCATCCAAGTCCGGGTTCATACCCCCAATAATACCCAATACTCTCGGCGCCTCCTTGCTAAGTTCTACATTTCTCTGCGCAAGGAGAGAGAGAGGCGTTAGGAGATGGCTTCAACCATCTTCGCAGCGCCCCTCAGGGCCCATCCCGGATCCTTCGCATGACTGCATGCGGATCTACAATCCAGTTCTCCATGAGTATAAGTCCACTCAGTATTAGGGATACTGTCTCTCAGATCTCTCATATTGATCTTCCTTTTCTTTTCTTCCCTTGCGTCTCCAGAATATCATCTATCATATTCCCCCACCCATGATACATCGTCGTTTCTTGTTTTAGAGGAGGAGCGAGCAAGAGGATTCCAGCAAATACCAACAACCTACCACACCTTTTTTTTTTCTTGAACGATGGCTTGCGAATCATCGCCTCGTCCTCGTCTGCGCGCCGTTTTGTCAGCTTTGCAACGCAGGCCACATGTAATCCGCCGCGCGATGCAAGGACAAGGTCGTTCCAGGGCAGCTGCAAGCTGGAGCTCGATGCCGGAATCTCGAGCTCAAGTTCAAGCTGTCGGCGACGAGTTTGTTAGTGGGATATTGCGACCGAAGTGCTATTATGGCGATGAGATGCCTGGTCCTTTACCAGTAGCAAGTGCAACTTTCGAAATAGTTTCGGCGATGCCGGAATGCCTACCGCAGATGGGTTTAGATCTCCCCGCCTGGGTTGAGAACACGAACCGCCATACACTGCAATCGGGAGGCGGTATTGTCGATGAAGATCTGGTGCCGTGGATGCAGATGCCCCAGCCAGAGTTGTTCAGCGGTATCAGCAGAGCGCAGTATAGGGAAACTCCTCTCTATTCTGAGGCTGGGTCGCCAGATTTATCGCGTGCATATGTCACAGACGAGGTGGCATGTCCGCAGCCGAGGCCGCCGATAGTGTCGTGGGCATCCTGGGCGACGTTTGGGCTGGGTGATAGCTATGCCGGCTTTGAATCTCAAATTTCACCTAAGAGAGGTTCTTCGTCGGATTGCGAGGCTGGGGATGATAACAGCTACTATGGCGATGCGTATGGAGAGGATGGGGCCTCAGTCTCATCGCGGCAGAGTTCAGCTCTCTCTATCAAATGCCAAGGCCACAATATATCGGAACTCGCACCAGTGACTTTTGGTCAGTCAGTAACCCAGCAAGTTGAGGAAAGCGTGGTGCCAAACTCGATGGGCTCAGAGTTCATGGATTGGGCTGGGAGTGGAAGTAGTGGTCGGAGCTCACCGTGTTACTCCGAGTGTGCTTATGAGGTTAGTAATTTGTTCTCTTATGATAGACTTGTAATAACACATGCCAGGAATTCGCGACTCCGCTCGCACCAGCGAGAGCACGTATTGTTCATATATCGGGAGACTGCTCCCAGTTCCCAACCAGGTCTACATCTCTATTCCAACGAGGCTCCTCCGAACATTCGCCAGTCAGAGTTTCTATGGATCAAGTGGCAAACCCAGCCCGCCATCCAGCCTCGCCAGATACGCCCGATTCCACGCCCAAATCCCACTCAAGACCATTCACCCCCTACCCCCAACCAACCTACCTCCTCCCACCCCCCACCCGCCCTCCCCCCACGCCTCCCTTCGGTCCCCACCCCCCCCTCAACATCCACCCCTCCCACCCCGCCCTTCTCCGCCAACGAAAACACATCTGGGGCTCCACCGCCACCGAAATCTCCTCAGAAATCCTAAACGACATCTACGCGGCCACGCGCCTCTTCTCCATCAAAAAACTCACCCTCTCCCATCCCTGCGTGTTCGTCATCCGCAACGCGCGACGCCGCTGGCGCACTTATGAGGGGTGGTACACCAATCCCTCCACCGCGTCGCAAGGACTGTTAGATTCGTTGTCGGCTTCGATGTTCTTGTCGAGCGGCGATCAGAATCCCGCCCCTTCGCCGCGGCCGAGCTCGGACCCGCCGTCGGAGGTGGGGTCGAAGGATACGGAGAGTGAGGCGGTATGGTCGCAGGGACTCGTTACGCGGACGGCGACGCCGGTTACGGATTTGGAGTCTGAGGGGGAGGATGAGGAGGGGAGGTTGTTGCCGGAGGCGGATTTGGGGGCGTTGAGACGGATTTTTCCGGGGAGTAATGCGGAGTGGTATGGGATATTGTATGCGCATATTGTGTGTTATAATTATGTGATGGATCTGGAGCAGGGACCGTCGTTTCAGCATTTGGAGGTGGATGAGGAGAGGGGGAGGAGGCGGGAAGAGGAGGATGAGAGTGTGAGGTGTGGGTTGATTTTGAGGAACTTGGAGTATTGTATTAGTCGCATTATTTGCCGGATGAGGGGGATGAATGGAAGGATGGCGGATAAGGAGGCCGGGGGGGGGCTGAGGGAGTCGCACTTGGTGCTTACACGCTCGTTGTCGGCGTTTATAAGGTCTTGTGAGGCGTCGATAATGTAGGATTGTCGGGGCGTGGTGGTGTAATTTTTAAAGTTTTAGAAATATTATAATTAGACTAGAATAGACTTACATTCAATTGGAGCAGATTTTTTTAATTCTAAGTACTTAATATATAGTGAAAGCTCGGTATAAGCAAAGGCAAACTTTATAACCCGGATATGGATCTTGATGTCTAGGAACCCAACTTTGCTCAACGTTGGGGCTGGGATTATAAATTGCTATAGCTTATCATTTCTTCAACTGAAAGGTGTCTTTTCCGACATTCTACTTTAAATCAACTCCATTACGAACCCACGGCATGTGATAACTCGAGGTCTAACAAAGTATGACGCGAAATGCTGACGATAGCTGTGATATCGGGCCGGCAAAGTTCCGTAGCAAAAATGCGGGGTTTATCTTGCCGTTCCCGCGATCTACCGGCTTGATTCCACCACAATTAATAATCATATAAGTTATAGAAGTGAGTCAACCAGAAAGTCTGCTATATAACTACACATAAATCATACAAAATCATTAAAGTTGTTAAGACAAATTACCTCTCCTTAACCTCCAGAACCCCAAAGGAAACATCCAATCTTACCCCTCACCATGTCGACCACCGTCACAGACACCTTCCAGGCCTACGTCTACTACCGCTCCTCCTGCTCCGGCCGCCTCCGCATCGCCCTAAACCTCAAATCCATAACCCCAACCTACAAATACGTCAACCTCGTCGCCAAAGAACAGCGCAGCGAGGAATACACCCTCATCAACCCCTCCCACACCGTCCCCACCCTCATCATCACCCCCTCCTCCGGCGCCGCCCCCATAAAACTCACCCAATCCATTCCCGCCCTCGAATACCTCGAAGAAGCCTACCCCTCCCTCCGGCCCCTCCTCCCCAAAGACCTCGCCGCCCGCGCAACAGTCCGCACCCTGACCGCCATCATCGCCGCGGACGTGCAGCCCATCACCAACCTCTCGATCCTGAACCGCGTCGAGGCGATTGGGGGGGACAAGGCGGTATGGGCGCGCGAGATCATGGCGCAGGGCTTGCTGGCGTATGAAGCGGTTGTAAAGGACACTGCGGGGACGTTCTCGGTGGGTGATGAGCTGTCGATGGCGGATGTGTGTTTGGTGCCCGCGATGTGGGGGGCGGAGAGGTTTGGGGTCGATTTTGGGGAGATGCCGACGGTGAAGAGGATTTATGAAAGGTTGGCGGCGATGGAGGAGGTGAAGAGGGCGCATTGGTCGAGGCAGGAGGATACGCCTAAGGAGCTTAGGAGTGAGTGATTTGGGGAATGTTAGTTGGGGAGAGGATGGAGGGAAGGCATGTCTGGTGAGTTGCGCGATATTGGATGAGAGGGGAGGCAAGCATCGTGAGCCTCGAGGAGGAGTTTGGGTAGCATCGACGCGGGCACAGCAGGAAAAAGGAAGAATGAAGCCGGAAGAAGGAACAATGAGGCCGGAGATACACTCCAGACTTAGCCAGCCTGCCAAAATATGATAGGTTCGACAATTTGGAGGCGGAGGCCGGAAAGAATACTCTAATTATCAAGCAATGATCACAACTGTCATGCACCGGAAATAACCTCACGCGCCATCAAGAAGCTCTCACGGACTCGGTTTTTGCGTAAACCGGAGAGACGACCGAGATGATCGGCGAATGACTCGCTCCATATATTTCGCTGGATCGTCATCTCCGCAGCCAAACACGACATTCTGTTCGCCTTAGAACAAGTTTATACGCCAGATGCGGAACTGACTGCCTTTCTCCGGTCCCAAAATATAAGCCTGCCTTGCCCATCTGCCACCTGGGCCCCGGTTCTCCCACGAGGTCTCACTATTCCGTCCTCCGTAGAATAAAATACACATTTTAAACTTCTCATTCCAGAATGGGCAGCTATTGATGGAAAATGCTGGCCGTCGGGGGATGTTGAAACAACCTTCATCTAAATTCTTGGCGGCCAAACTGGGAGCCCCCCGACGAGCTTCCCCACCGACCCTTATTCGTGGAATGTTGGCGCTCCGCCGGTTCCGTCGCCGTCCCTTGAGGGCTGGAGACCTTCGAGAATACCTTGATTGAAGGCTGTTGTGGATGGCTGCGTCCTGAAGAATATTGTTTCCTTGGCTGGCCGCGTATCCTTCTCGAGCTGCTTGGAGTGCTCTGACACCGGCACGGATCGCCACTACGATCTACCCCGCAACACCTTAATCTATCTGGCGAGCCCAGAGAGGAGCTGCCGGCGTTAACTCCCAATGTGTACCTTTCTTGGCAGCTCGGCGTTTATGCTTCGACGACGCCTTGCTCAGGAGGCCCTGCCATGGGATTGACCTCCGTGGATAGCATGGCGATTACTTCTCCTTCCTTAAGTTCTTCATATCAGTGGGGAATTGTAGTTCCGGACTATGGAGGCTTCTATCCTCCTCCGCGGCATTGCAAGAGTATAAGTATGTGACGATCCTGGTTTCTTGCTCTTTACTCCTCTCAGCATCTCTCAATCTTCACACACATTCAATAGTTACCTATTCCGCCTCATCATCAACATGAAGCTCTCTATTCTCTCTGTCGGCCTCCTGTTGGAGCCGTTGCCGCTGTGCCAACCGCCACAACTGACAGCCCTATTGTCAAGCGCGCCTCCATCAACGACGTGAGCTTCCATATTTTGCTAGCTGCCATGACCACCACTAATGACTTCCCAGGTTGGAACTGGTTACGCCAGCCAGAACGGCGGAACTAGCGGAGGAGCCGGCGGAACCACCACTGTCTCCTCCTTCGCTCAGTTCACTGCCGCTATTGCTGGCACCGCGAAGAAGGTCGTCGTTGTCTCTGGCCCTATCACCCAGGCCTCTAAGCAGATCAAGATTGGAAGCAACACCAGCATCATTGGCAAGGACTCCAAGGCCGTTCTCACTGGTTTCGGACTGTAAGCTTGACCCCCCTCCTTGTCTCCATAGGCTCCATACTAACGAGTTTTCTAGCATCGTCAAGGAAGAGTCCAACGTCATAATCCGCAACATTGCCATCTCCAAGGTTCTTGCTGCGAACGGTGATGCCATTGGTGTCCGTAAGTTCTCTCCACTTGCCCAGCCTCCCAAAGTACCTCCTAACAATCCACAGAGCTGGCCAACAACGTCTGGATCGACCACGTCGACCTCTCCTCCGACCGTAACCACGACAAGGACTACTACGACGGCCTGATCGACTTCACCCTCGCCGCCGACTTCGTCACCATCTCCAACAGTTACATCCACGACCACTGGAAGGCCTCGCTGATCGGCCACTCCGACTCCAACGGCGCCGAGGACACCGGCCACCTCCGCGCCACCCAGAACAACAACCACAAGTACAACATCAACGCTCGCGCCCCCACCATCCGCTTCGGTACCGGCCACATCTTCAACTCCTACTTCTCTCAGTGCGGTTGAGTCAACACCCGCGATGGTGCCCAGGTCCTTGTGGAGAGCAACGTCTTCTTCTAAGCACCTCTACTCCACCGACGCCGGATACGCCGTCGCCAACGACGACGACTTCGGAAGCGGCTCTAACACCACCCTTGCTGGTACCCTCAAGACCGTCCCTTACTCGTACAGCGAGTTGGGTAGCACTAAGGTCAAGGCCGCTATTGAGGGCAAGGTTGGCAACAACCTCAGCTTCTAAATGTGTTGTGAAAGATAGGGGGAGAGAGGGAGGAAGAGAGGGGGAGAGGGGGCAACTGAGTTGCTTGACCTAGTTAAGGGCATATTTCATGCTAGTTCCGTGTAGATACTATATGCCTTATTCTTGCTCCCCATGCTTTATTTACACTTTGTGACCACCAGCCCAAAAATTCATGTCCAAGAAAATCACCCCCTCAGCCGCTTCTCTAAAAATCGCCCAGAAAGCCACCACTCAAACCAGATTCCCCCTCACCTCCTGGTCCCTCTCAAGCGCCTCGAACAGACTCCTGAAGTTGCCCGCGCCAAACCCTTCGAAGTTGTTGCGCTGAATAATCTCAATAAACACCGTCGGGCGATCAAGCAAATGCTTCGTGAACAACTGCAACAGATACCCCCCCTCATCGAAATCAATCAATATCCCCAAGCGCTGCAGAGTCGCAAAGTCCTCCTCAAGCGTCATCCCCTGCTTCTTCAACTTCAACCTCATATCCACATAGTAGCTCTCCGGGATAGTAATAAACTCCACCCCACGCGCACGCAGCGCCGTAACAGCGGAAATGATATCCTTTGTGCGTAGCGCGATGTGCTGCACGCCCGCCCCGCCGTAGAAGTCGACGTACTCCTCGATCTGGGACTTCTTCTTGCCGATCGCGGGTTCGTTGATGGGCATCTTGATGCGCTCGTCGGGGGAGGCCATGACGACGGATTTTAGGGCTGAGAACTCGGTACAGATGTCTTTGTCGTCGACGGACCAGAAGCGGTGGAAGCCGAGGACGCGCTCGTAGCTGGGTGGGGGTGTTAGCAAAAGGGGTTCGTGGATGTGAGGGGTTGGGAAAAAGGGGGGGGGGGGGGCATACTATTCGCAGATGTTGTCCATCTCGTCCCAATCTTGGTTGCCGACGCAGTGGTCCATGGCCTCGAGAGTGATCTTGGGAAGAAATGTGTTCAGGGGATCTTCGGCATCAGGTGCAGCCTTGAATCCTGGCAGGAAGACGCCCTTGTACTCCTTCCTCGAGATCAAAGTATGTGTCGTCTCACCATACGTCTGAATCGTCGCGACTCTAACGCTCCCAGACTCATCCGTTACCGTCTCCGGCGGCGAGACGCTCTTCCCGCCGTTCTTCACAGCCTGGTTATACACCTCATCCACATCATCAACCTCAAACGCAACATCCTTGACCGCATCACCGTGCTTCTCCATATGCGCTTGGATCTCAGCGAGCAGCTTCTTGTCCTTGGGGTCCTCAGCCTGGCTGGCTGAGCGCAGCGGCGAGGTGAGCACGAAGGTCACGCTGCCGTTGCGGACGGCGTAGGAGGCGATGGCGCGGGAGCCGGTGGACAGGTCGCGGAAGGCTACCTTGTGGAAGCCCATGCGGGCGATGTAGTAGGTCGCAGCCTGCTTTGCGTTGCCGACGTACCAGTGCACATGGCCGTAGCCCCTGTAGTCTAATGTGGAAGCTTCTTGTGTGGATGAAGGAGCAAATGTGGCTGGAGTCGCGGTCGGGGGGGACGAGCTGAGCTCGGCGTGAGGGGCCATTTTTTCAGGTCCTGTGAGGGGGTGATGATGGTATCAAGAGAGGGTGAAGCTTCTTGATCTCTTTTTGGAGTATATATGAATATGGGAGATTGATATTAAAAGATATGGTATCGAATGAGAATGGTCTGAAATGAGAGGTTTCACTGAAATCATGAACAAGAGAGACATATATGTACTACCGTATGATTTCACCAGGTATCGCCCATGGCCGCCATGCCCTTAGCAACTCCCCTTTCCAACACGCCGACCAAATGCGCATGACGCTGAGGTAGGGGCGGAACGGTGTAAGGCGAAGAGGGTGGTCGGCCATAATGCCGCGAGGAACCGCCCTGAAGCGACGGATTCGGGTGACTAAGCGACTGCGGAATAGCACCGCGGCAGCATACGCGGGGGATGGGGAGAAGCGGCAAAGTGCGGCAGCCGCTGGCGCTAGATGTTATTGGGTTAGTGCAGTACATGCTTAAGTACTCTATCGATGGCTTCATTTTGACAGATGGAAGGCAAGCCGCAACGGAAGCCGAAGTCACTCTTCACCGGATTTCGCGGGGGAGGTACAATGGGTTAAATAAATAACCGGTAAGCGCAGGCAAGTCACTAGCTAAGGCTTCTTCTACGCCACGTTATATTCTTATTTTATTTGATAACTTCATCTACACCCTCTATCTTCTTATCATTCATACCTCTCAAAGCCCTCGCGGATATTCACACCAGAGATACACACGGATATTGCAGCTACACGGGACTGCTAGATATATACAGAGCAATTGGAGCTACACGCCACCACCAGAACCACACACAGCCATCGGGCATACACAGAGCCATCAGAGATACACCCAGTTATCAGAAACACACGCAGCCATTCTATCACCTCCTCAACACCATCCGTCCCAATGTCCATCCTCACCCCCCGCGACTCCGCCATCCTCTCCTCCCTCTTCACCTCCGACCCCCCCGCCCCCGCCTCCCTCCCCCCCCACCACCACCACCTGGGCTCCCCAATTTCCCAACCTCCCTCCTCCAGCAAATCCAAACCCTCGAATCCTCAGCCCTAAAACCTCTCAACACCGCTTCACCCCCCCCTTCTACAATCCAAACCGCCATCGACGAGCTGACATCGCTCATTGAGGCACACCCTGCGTATCCATCTGCCTACAACAATCGCGCCCAGGCGCTACGGTTGCTGCATGGCTCGGATCTCACAGTTGCTTCGGCGAATGAGAGCGCTATAATGACCGATCTCGCCGAAGCAATCCGGTTATGCACGCCCACAACCACAGGACTCCAAGCCGACATCCTAGCCAAGGCCTACACCCAGCGCGGCGCCGTCCTCCTCTTAACCTCAACCACGATGCGAACGCTCGAGACCGACAGTAGCAAGAGTGAAGGAGCAGTGCAGGTGCAGGTGCTGGGCAGCAAATCAGCGGACGAGGTGGAGGAGATGGCGAGAGCGGATTTTAGGGAGGGAAAGAGGTGGGGCGGGGAGGTGGCGGGGGAGATGGATGTTAAGATGAATCCGGTGAGGAAGTTGTGTGGTGAGATTGTGAGAGAGGCGATGGTGAGGGATTTGAGGGAGAGTGGGGTGTTGCCGGCTGAGGATTAGGGGGGGTGCGAGGGGAGCAGGATGTTTGTGATGATGGAGTATTGGTGTTTGGGTGGGAATATTGCAAGCGTTTTATCGATGGGGGGGGGATGGCGGATGTAAGATGGAATAGAGAAAGCGAATGAAAAAAATTAGATGATCCTAAGCTATGAAGAGGGTTTTGTGTCGTTAAGTCGTATAAGCCTTCTTAGCCCTCAGTCCCACATGCTTGTCTCCGCCATAACAGCCATAAATAAGAACGAAACCCACTCTCATCCCATCCACCAAGCCCAGCATCCAGCAAAAAGCAAACAAGAAAACAATACCATAGACTTCTCAACTACTCATCATCATCTCATGAATCATCGCCATTCTCCCCGACGCCTTCGTGCCTTCGGCTTTACGCAGAGAGTGTGCTGTTAGTCACTATCGTCCTCATCACCCCTGGAACCATATTCCCGCTCAAATCCTGCCTCAACCTCCACCTTCTCTTTCTCCTTCTCCTTCTTCTCCCCCGCCGTCGTCTCAGTCTTAACCTTCTTCTCCCCCGCCGTCGTCTCAGTCTTAACCTTATCCGCACCCTCACTCGCCTCCCCACCCCCCTCCATCACCGTATCAGCCGCCTCGACAACAACGGTACTATCCGACGACGCACTCTCCGCCACCTCCGGCTCCGCCTCCCCAGCCGCCTGCTCCACCTCTGTCTTCGTAGCCACAGCCACCAAGGACGCCAAAAACAGCTCCTTCAAAATACGCAAAACTAAACCCCTTCGTAAACCCCGCCAACACACTCGCCATCTGCGTCGTCACCATCACCGTCACCGTCTCTTTCCCCTCCAATTTATTGCCCCAGTACGCGCAGTATACCTCTCGCTATGCCACACCAGGGAGTCCCAAGTGGTACTTCCTATCGAACCGACTAGGTCGCTTGGCGATGGCGGGGTCGAGCTTGTTGAGGTGGTTCGTGGAGCCGATCATACAGATTCCATCGTTTGATTCGAGGCCATCGACCTCATTGAGGAAGTACGCGCGGATTTTCGTACGAGCGAATCGAGGTCTTCAAAGATAAGTAGACACGGCGCCAATGTGCGCGCGCGACTGAAGATCTCGCGAATACTGTGTTTCGGGCCATACGAGCAGTTATCGAGGTTCTTAACGTACGACTAGGGATCTTGCGCTCGCCGGTCTGCAGGGTATTGATAAGGGCCTTGATGCTCAGCGTCTTCCCGTTTCCAGGGGTGCCGTGAAGGATGGTACCGCGCTTCCAGGGGATGTTGAGGGAGGTGTACATTTCCTCCGAGTCGAAGAAGGTGGTGATGTCGGTGATGATGCCGTCTTTGAGGGAGGGGGAGAGGATCACATCCGACCACTTTGTGCCCATGACGCTGAGGTAGAGTTTTCGGTCTTTGCGCCAGGTGGAGTTGTCGAAGACGTAGATCTCGCTGTGCACGTCGGCGCTCCATTTTCCTACGGCCATGAGCAATTTGTCGATCTGTTGCTTTGCTGCTTCTGAGGCGGCGGTGATGGCCTCGGGGGTGGTCTCGGGGTTCGCACCTAGTGGCCATTTGCGACTGAGGAGGTAGACGACGGCCTCTTTCGTACCATATGCACTGGATTCATACTCTACGTGGTAATAGAGATACTCGTTCCCTTCCCACACATACTCCCAAAGCCCAACCCGGACCTCGTTCTTTAACTTGCCGTCAGCGTTTTTTTTTCTTATTTTGCTGCATTGGCGGCTTGTACACCCGACTGATATCATGGTTGTTACCATGTATGGGCGTAGCCGTCGCCAGCCTGTACTCCACAAAGCTTAGAAGGTGGCAATAGGTGACTTTGGTGGCAACGATTTCGTACTCCGGATAATCCCTGCGGAGAGCATTGTAGATGGAAAGCTCGGTCGACGCGCGTTTGTTGGCGAAATGGGAGAGGATGAAGAAGAATGCACTCTCATGAGCAGCTGGGGGAGCAGGGACGTCAGTCATTGTGGTGAAATTGAGCAAGACAGAGGGGAGTGATTTGAACGGCGAGGAGAGAGATGGGATTTGAGGAGAGAGGAGACGCAATGAGAACAATAAGAGGAGGTCCCAGCCTTACTTATAGAGACCTAATGATGCTAATGGTCTACGTAACCCTTCCAGGGAGATGTGAATCCATATAATTAAAACATAAAATCAATAGAACTACTATCACTATCGTATGCAGTGATGCCAAAGCAGACAACAGACAACAGGCAACAAGGCTGAACATCGGAGAGTCTTTCTTGATTAGCTGGCTGTGGGTAGCTGCATATACTGGTGTTACCCAAAAGCCCGATGATGGACCGCCGTGCACAGCCAGCTAGGAACAGATTTCTCTGTCCTTCCACCAACACTCATGAGTCTAAGTCGGGTTGAGTTAGCTAACTCATGAGTCTGAGTCGGGCCTCTAACTCATGAGTCGGCTTGAGTTGCTCACCCTGGTTATATTGGAGCGTTCAGTGATGCAGCAACCTCAAAATTAGGTGGCAACAGCAAGTTGTGCGTGCGACAGCAAGATGTGCAACACATAAAACGAAGAAAAAGACGCCTTATATAGCAACTATATAACTATATAATTAAAACATAAAATCAATAGAACTACTATCACTATCGCTACTGCCACTATCGCTACTACTATCACTTTGATCCTTACTATACCGTAAATTTTGATTTCAACCCTTCCTTCTTCCGCTCTGTGTAATGGTGGGTGCACCAGATGTGAGAATCTAGCCACCCAGGGGAAGGGATGGTTTTACTAAGACAACACACTGTCTTAGGAAACAGAGCCAAAGGGTTGTAGCTTAGACTATTCCACAACGCAGCAATCAAGTATATGATGTCGTGGAGCGGTTTAGACAAGTTGTAACAAATGTTGAGTCTGAGAACTCAGGGATAAGTCAGAGGTTAGCACCTCACTGACTTTTCAGAAACAAGGAATAACAAGATCAATGCTTGGAAGCTTGGAAAAGACATAGAAGTATGTGATAATCGATTTAATGTATTGTCTGCTTGCCCTTTCTTAAGGAAAGGGCAATACCCGTTCCGCTCTCCGTGCATCAATGCCAGCATGGAGCTGCAGCTTATACTCAAGGTTAACCATGCGCTTTCTCTCTCTTCTCTCTCTTGCTTCTTCTCTCTCTTGCTCCTTTACTATCTTCGTATGAATCTTCTTCCGTGCTTGTTCAACTGTAACAGCTCCACCCTTTTGAATAGATTTTCTGCTTCTAACTTTCCGTTGTCTTTGCTCAGACATAATAGTAGTAATTTGCATAAGCTCTGAGGTAACCAAAGTACTTTCTGTTAACTGTACTTGAATCTCTGTATAAGAAGATGTCCACTTTTGCCGTGATGGTGAACTAAGAATCTCTTCAAATCTTTGACTCCAATTTGAAAGATCTTGACTTGCTTGGATTGCTTGCCTTGGTGTTTCTAAAAGTGCTGGTTTTGCGTATATTTCCACTTTCTTTTCTATCTTCTCGTAGTTTGGTGGCCAAATACCAGAGTCTCTAAACGCTTTCATACAGTTTCCCTTTGTAAACGTTTGTGTTCGGATTGTAGGTAAGTCTCGGAAGAATGAAATAACATTATAGTCAACATCAAAATTCTGAATTGCTTGTTGAATAGCACGGCGGTGCCAATGGTTATACAGTGCAAATACTGTAACATCAAGAGGTTGTAGTATATGTGTAAGGTGAGAAGGAAATACATGTAAATGTATATTGTTTTGATGTGCAAGTATTATAAATTCTGGAACTTCATGAGAAATGTGAGAGTCCATTATAAGCAACTTCGTCTTTGTAGAGGGTGCAGAATGTTGAATAAAATGCTGTAGATATTCCATTGCGAGCTCAGAGTTTGTATATCCTGAATCTGATACTGCAACTCTCTCATCACCATGTAGATTATCATGGTACCAACTTTCCATATGAAGCTTTTCTTGAATTATTAGGAACGGTGGAAGTACAATGCCAGCAGCTGAAATTGTCTCTATTATTGTGAGACTTTGACAATTCTCTGGAGCTTGTATATAAAGCTATACAAATTAGAATAATATAATGTAAGATGGGTACATATAACGTACCTCCTTTACTGCTGTTGGCACTAACACATGTTCACCGGTGCTCATTCCCACTCAGAACCCAACTTCATCAAAGTTGTAGATGTTAGCTGCAGTAACATCTAATTGATTACACACATCTTTGAATCCATGAAACCATTCTTTGATAGCTGATACATCATGAGAAGCAACACGTGCTGCTTCAATTGGCTGGGTTTTAATGGTGTGGAAAGTCTCATGTTGAGTCTTAATCCAAGTCTGGAACCACCGTTGAGACGGTGGTGGATGCGTCGGGATTTCAGCTGCTAGTAGTTGGCAGATAGCATTAAACACCATTGGCTTCGTTGCACCGTACCCATTTTCATATGACCGTTGAATGTATCTTTGTATAGCTATAACTTGTATATCTGAAAGTATTCTGTTCTTACCTCCGTGAGGCTTTGGTGGTTGGCGTTGCGCCATGCGTTGCATACGGAGTGTGGTTGGGAGTACATGGTAGATTCTAGCTGCTGCGGCGATAGTCTCCATTGGGTTCTGATTTAGGAAATCAATTGCTTTTTGAATAGCTTCATTTCTAGCTATATCAATTGACATGATTGTAACTTTACGTGTCAATTGTTGTCCAGATAGTCGCGTTGTCCTGATGTCGCATTGGACGTGCTCGCGTTTGCCGAGAGAGCAAGGATCGCTTTCGCAGCAAGGATCGCTTTCGCCAACCGCCTCCAGGCGGTGGTTTGGAAACAAACGATTACACTAGAGACAACTCTTGAGAGAGAGTTGTGCTTTGTGTTCTAGAGAGAATCAAACTCACAAGTTATGACATGGCTATATAGCTAACTACTTATGGATAGTAACCCTACCTGCTACAGTGTAGCAGCCGCTATCCTAATTAGGCAATTATGATGCCAAGCCTACTAGGGTTTATGTTTCCTACTATGGCTAGAAATGGAGCAGCGTTACAGCAAATCTAAATTGCTCTGGTTATGAGCCCGGGATGTACAGAGCATAATCGTCGTGACCAAACTTTTCGCTTCACTCAAGGTTGGAGTAAGCAACATGCGCCACTTCACGCGAGAAGGAAGCAAGTTGCGCCAACTCATGATTTTGAGAGTAAGTACTAGCCCATAGTAATTTGTATGTAAAGGTACATAATCTGCCTACTCTATTGAATTATCACTTTGACTCCCACGCTCGCTCCCATCCTCACTCCCACGTTCGCTCCCACACTTGCCCGCAATCTCATACTCCTCCTCGCCCTCACTTTCAGAGGCTTCCGGGTCAGGTATTGGGTCCTCCCACTCTAGAGGAATTGGGAGGCTGGCATTAGTGTAGAATGCCACCCTCTTTTTCCGGAGGCGTTCCTGCTTCCGGGCCTCAATTCCAGCTCTACGGAGCTGTTTGCGGGCCCAGTTGATAGCCTGGCGGGCCATCCGGGCTTCTTTGGCCTGGAGCTTCTGGGCTAAACAATCAGCTTTTTCAGCCTGAAGCTCGTGGGCTCGGTCAGCAGAGAGCTCGCCTCCAAATTGAAGGCGGGCCCTACTTCGGCTTGCCCGCTTTTTGGACTCCTCGACCTGCCGCCGTACAGTACGCAGGTCAAGCTCCTGGGGTTGGCCGGCTACTACTACCTTTTCAGTGCCGGTAAGTGTCATACTGACATTCGTTGCACTCAGTTTGCTATCAAACTCAAGAGCAAACTTAGAAATCTCCTCCTCAAACCTACAAGTCACCATACATATCTTGGCTTATCACACCAACAACAGAAGCAATACTACTCAACGATTGCTGCAAACTCTTCTACTACATCTGTTTATGCTACATACATCACGGCATATCATTTGGACACTCATTGAACAAGTTATTAAGAAAATCTCCTCCTTAAGGGGGTGGGCCAATACTACCACATGGCATATCTCTACCAACTAGAGGCTAGGAACATGAACGATAGCTCTAGAAGCTTTTACAACCCTCTATGATTCATTACACGTCATCGCTCCTTAGTTACCCACAAGATTGGTTAAGTTATGACATAATTTATCTAGAGGTACTCTGACCTTGGACCTCCTTTTCACTTCCTATAGGCTAGGAACCCAAGAGATGGTTCTATGGGATTCTCTTACGTTCACTACATGATTAGCAAGCTAGTTGTGGGTCGCACTTGATTTCTAATACATTTACCAAGCCTGGTTAGTCATGGAAAGTCATGGAAAATGAGAGAACTACACTCCTTTGTCATAAATAGGATTGCCCTTTCCTTAAGAAAGGGCAAGCAGGCAATACAGTAAATCGACTATCACATACTTCCACGTCTTTTCCACGCTTCCAAGCATTCATCTTGTTACTCCTTGATTTTCTGAAAAGTCAGTGAGGTGTTAACCTCTGACTTACCCCTGAGTTCCCAGACTCAACATTTGTTGCAACTTGTCTGAACCACTTCACTACATCACACACCTGATTGCTGCGTTGTGGAATAGTCTAAGCTACAACCCTTTGGCTCTGTTTTCTAAGACAGTGTGTTGTCTTAGTAAAATCGTCCCTTCCTTGGGTGGCTAGATTCTCACATCTGGTGCACCCACCATTACAGTAAGCCAATTCCTGTAGCTCTGCTTCGAGGGGCTACTAAAGCCTTCTGGAACCCGCTGTTTCCAGTGCTATAGCCCCTCTTCTACCCCCCTAAAAGTCGTGGGTTTAGGTGTAGAA